ATGTTTGAATAGCATTCCCTATGGGACATAGAAGCTTGAGCAAATACCTAATGTCTACCATTTTCTATAACTTACATTGGACAATACCTCAGAATATTCATGTGAGATCATTCTTTCCTGCTTAAATTCTTCCATTCCTCTTCATGGTTGGTTTATTCAATAAGTATTTATTATCTGCCTAATATATGCCAGACACTGTGCTGGATACTGTGGATACAAAGTGCTGCTGGAATAGTCACAAATGACAAAACACAACGGGTAAGTGCTGCGGCGAGTTACAAATGGCTTGAGTAGGGGCGAAAGTAGAAACAGGGAGGCTAATGGAAGGCTATTGTGGTAGCCCTTGCTGGATGAGGCCCTGAAAAGAAGAGATTAGAAAGGATTCTTCTCTTAAAAGAGAGGATGGATTAAAAAGAGGTCATTATGAGGTAGAAACAGCAGAACTTGGTGACTGGTGAGATGTAGTGAATTGAGGGAGAAAGGAGCCTTAGGTTCATGGCTGGGTTTTCTGGGAGACGGGATGGATCCGTATTTATGCCCTTCATTGTTATCTCTTACCTGTATTCTTCACTTTGGCAATCCATTATATATACTATTATCTGGTATTAACTAGTGTAAGAGTACTAACTCTTCCATTTATTTTTTAAAGATTTTATTTAGAGAGAGAGGCAGGGGGGAGCAGCAGGCAGAGGGAGAAGCAGGCTCCCTGCTGAGCAAGGAGCCACGTAACATATGGGACTCCATCCCAGGACCCTTAAGGCAGATGCTAAACCAACTGAGCCACCCAGGCGTCCCAGAGTACTAACTCTTTTCAGTTGACTTCCTCTCTGCACCCCATAGAATCTGGCACAGCGCTGGACATACAGTTCAGCACAATGTCCAGTTTATTTAAATTGAACTATTAATAAAACAGTAAAATAGAGAACCACGCTAAAGGGAAAATACAGAATTACCCAATTATATATACATGTAAGTTTTTCCTAATTTCCCTCCGTTTGTGTAATCCCTTTGTTTATGTATTATATATCTAATCCCTATGTTTATATCACTGATCTATTTCCCCTCCACTCCTTGAGTGCAGACGGAATTTTTCTCACTCCTATAACCAGTCCAGGGCTTAGCTTTAGTGCTTTGTAGTAATGGCTGACTTTTCAAAGCATTTTTTAAGTTCGTGTCAAACACTGTGGTAAGTGCTTTGCATGAATTACCTTGTTTATCCTCACAAAAGCTCTCTCTTGTGCTGGACTGTTTTAATCCCCACTGGTGAGTGCGTCCTGTGGACGAGCGAACCAAGACTCCGAGGACTTAAGTGACTTGCCCAGGGCATACAACTTGTAATTGGCAGAACCGAGGTCTCTGGATTTCAGACAGAGTGTAGTATTTATCATTGCCTGTGCTGCCTTGTGTAAGGAGACCAGCACAGAAGGTCCTTGTTACAGACCGGGGGGATTGGATTAGGTCATAGTGAAAGGTGTGTGAGGTGAAGCTTGCTTCTTGGCAGTGTGTATTTGACAGTGACGTTTTGAATCCTGAAAAAACCTGAATATTTCTGGAGAAGGAATATCCTGAACATTATCCAGAATACTTGGGAGTATGGCCACTTGTTCATGAACATTTCTGACCCTATCTCTGACCTCTCCTAATACAGAAAGATGCCCAGATAGCCAGGAGTGCCACTGGGGGCCTGGAAGGCAAGGAGGGAATGATGGTTGAAGCGCTTGGGGAATGAGGCCTACGGAAGATGTGCCAAGTGTAGAAAGAGAGGATAGAGCAGTCTGCATTCTAGTCTTGTGCCTTTTAAACTCACAGAAATTCCTTGTAATTAGGTTGGCCATCCAGCTTGTTTTATTTATTTTGAGATCCAGGGAATATCAGGATTATTAGCTTTAAAGAGCAGAATTTTCATTTTCGTTAACCATCTCTGCTTCCTGGTTTTGTCCCTGTGGCGTGAAAGTTGGTTAATACACAGACTCAATCCTTTGGGTAGAAGTTGAATTCTAACACTTAAGAGGAAAGGATTGATGTGAAAGAAAATAAGAATTTCTTGGAATCCCGTAAGTTTACCTTTTCTCAAAATTGATAAGTGTCGGGAAGATTGTTATTTCTCTAGAGTTTATATTTCAAATTCAACCCCTTTTGCACATGTGTCTTGAAGCCTTTGTCCCTTGAGTTTCAGGGATTTTTGTTAAAGTTAAGTGAAGGTAGGTTCTTCCTTTTCCAAAAATTCAGCAGGCCGTGAAAATTAATGATTTTACTTTCTTAATTTTGAGTTATAAGAATAAATCATACAGTCTGCATTCTTATATAGATGGAAGCATGTGAGATTCTAGGTTTTTTCATTTTGGCCTATTGGAACACTTTTCAATATTAACGTATTTTTTTTTCCATTTTTTAAAATGTACAGTGAGATGAAGAGATACATTTAGTAGGAATGCCAGGGCACTGTCATATCCTAATATTTATTTCCCAGGTTTAAATCCTTTACGCTCTGATAAGTTCACTGCTTTGAGACACTATTATTTTTCTCCATTTCATAAGATTAAAAGAACTAGGGATGTTTGGCCCAGAAAAGTGACAGATTAGGAGGAATGTGGGAGTTGTCTTCAGTTGAAGCATGGTCGCATTGGAAAAAGGATTTGGCTCCTTTTCTCTAGTCCCAGTGGATTGAACCTATGTGTGGAATTTATAGGGAGACAGATTTCAGTTTGGTTTAAGGAGGAACTGTCCTACACGTCAGATCTACTTAGGGAGTCAGCTGCCTGGGAGCGAGTGCATTGGTCCCTGTTGAAGTTTTAGAATATGGGTTGGATGAAAATCTAGGTATGTGTGGGAGATTCGTATGTTGGATGGAGAATTATATTAGGCGGGGTATAAGGACCTGACCCACGCTGAATTATTTACCAGGAAATAAGGGTGAGGGGAAGAAACCAGATAGCCAATTTAGGGTGAGGGAGGAGAGCTGTAGCAGGCTAACAGAGGATAAGAAAGGGGGACATTGAAGGTCCAGTATGTCTCTCCCGCTCATAAGAGTCCCGATTTAAGAATATGTTGGCTCTTGTTTCGTAAGACATTATTCTGCAGAAGTTGAGGAATTTTTGGCATGGTTAGCAGAGATGGAGTAATTCTGTTTCTGTAACAGGTCTCTGGCTGGAGACATTGAGTGGAGCTAAATCATAAGTGTCCAGGTTGTGGGCTTTAGGTGGGAACATAGCTTCTGCCAGTGGGTTTGGTTTTCTTTCTAGAAAATTTTAAAATTCTTTCTCAGGGTTGTTACATTGAACTAAATTGTAGCTGCAGGGGGATTTAGGCTGAAACTATTCTCTTGTTCAGAACGTTTGGATTTGTTTTCTCAGCTTCCACATGTTCCCTCTCTCACTGTGTCTCTCTCTGTCAAATAAATAAAATGTTTGAAAAAAATGTTTACACGAACATTTTCAGCCTGGAATTTGGTATACGAAGAAAGCTGAAATTGACATGTCCTTCTTTTCGAACCAGTATCCCAGGTTTCTGGGGAGGGGGATGGTGAAGTGGGTAAGAGTGTGAATTTTTTATGTTACACCTGGATTTTATTCTCAGCTCTACCATTCACCACCTTTTATTACCTTAGAAGGGTGACTTAACTTCTCTGGGCTCCCATTTCTTCATCTGTAAAGAGCTAATATTTCTCATAGATCAATGGGAGCATAAATGAGATACTATACATAAAAATGTATTTAGTGCATGGTAAGAGACTCAGTAGATGGCAGCTACTTTATTTTTGTGCTGTCAGTAGACTTTTTTTTTTATTGTGAGACAGCAAAGGCACGAGTGGTGGTGGGGGGAAGGGCAGAAGGAGAGGGAGAGAATCTTAAGCAGACTCCATGCTGAGTGCAGAGCCCGACACAGGGCTTGATCTCATGACCCTGAGATCATGACCTGAGCCGAAATCAAGAGTCAGACACTTAACTGACTGAGCCACCAAGGCGCCCCAATAGAGACTTATTTTTGTTACTAGAGGTCATCTTGGAATGGACATTGAGTTGATGTACTAGTAGTGCAGAATATCTGCTTCCTTATTAGAGTGTAATTCTATGAATAATATAACGTGTCTGAGTAGAGAGGTTAATTTCACATTTCTTCAGAAGGAAAGAAATTAGCAAAGAAAAGCAGAAAGGCTTAAAAGGAGTAATGCACACTCACTATTTCCTTCTCCCTTTCTTCTGAAGAGAGGTTCAGGTAGAAGTATCTAGATTTGGGAATCTTGTGCATCAAGATATGCATAAAGTGGTTGAGGTCATTGTGGGAGTGAGAGAAGAGGAGGATTGAAGATAGACTCTGTAATGGCATAGATCCGTAGCTCACAGGAAGGAAGGTCAGGAAAGAGATGGAGGATTCAGTGTAGGCTAGTGCATAGGACATTGAACCTGAAGTTGGGAGGTCTGGGCTCTAGTCTCACTTTCTCCATTTGGGGTTTGTGTGCCTCTAGGCATATCCCTTCCATGCTGTCCAGACTAGACTTCATCTCCAACCAAGGCTCCTTGAATACTTGAGTTTCTCCATTCGGAATCCACTTGGAAACAATAACATGCAAATGGAGGTAGTGGAATGTTCCTGAAACAGGAATTTCAAGAAGGAACAATGTCAGATGTCACAGAAATAAAGGAAGATGAGATCTGAGAAAAAGATAGGATGCCCAGGAGGCCAGTTTGTCTAGAGAGGGACCGAGAAGTATTTGCAGTGTCAGACTTACTATGGAACAGCATGTAAGGGAGAATCATTCTAGGTCTTCTCACTGACTTTGCAAATAACATAAATGTTAATAAACCTGCCTGATACAGTAAGAAAAATGCAGTCGTGTGCTTTCACCAATGATCCATAAATGACTCAAAGATTTCTTGAATTCAAGGTTGAAGGGAATTTTGAGGTAGTCTGTTGCTAGGTGAGACAGCTAAAGCTCCTTGTTTCTCTTTAGAATTTTAGTTGGGTTTCTCACTTGAAGTGTTTCATTTGTTTTTTTGTAGACCGATTGTGCCATTATGGATGGAGGGGATGATGGTAATCTTGTTATCAAAAAGAGGTTTGTGTCTGAGGCAGAACTAGATGAACGGCGCAAAAGGAGGCAAGAAGAATGGGAGAAAGTTCGAAAACCTGAAGATCCAGAAGGTATATGGGCTTGTAGTCTGGCATTCAATATAATGATCTCTAATCTTCCCAGTAGCCCTGTGGAGTAGTTACTAATGTCCTCACGTGGGAGGACTGAGGCTCAGAGGGGTGCAGGAACCTATATAAGGCCTCTGTGGCTGGGAGCAGAACCAGGGTGCTCACTGTCCACTCCACCTTCTGCCTTCCAGAAGATCCTGCTAGTCTCTTCCATCTGTACAGGTGGATGCAGGATCTGAGTGACTGAGAATGTGGCTGCTGTATAGGGTTGGGCTGGCCCCGCATCCAGTTAACTGTCTCAGGCTGTGGGCCCTATTGACATTGGTAGTTGCCTTTGAGAACTGCTGGCCCCTCTCTGAGATCCAAAGGGAAGCCGTGGACTTTGTACTATTTTTGTGTTATCCTTGCCCTCAGATCATGCAGAGACTTGACTTTATCTTTAAAATCCTTTGTGATTCCAAAATAATGTGAAAAATTCTAAAGTATGTACCTTGTCTTTCCCCGTCCCTCTTCCTTTCAGAGTGTCCAGAGGAGGTTTATGACCCTCGGTCTCTATATGAAAGGCTACAGGAACAGAAAGACAGGAAGCAGCAGGAGTATGAGGAGCAGTTCAAATTCAGTAAGCTTCCGAAAACACAGTCCGGCACGCTCTGCACGGCCTTTGTGGTGCACTTTTTTGTCATGTAACACTTTTCCCAACTAGCCATGGAACTGTCCTGATTATCTAGTCTCTAAGACGTTCATTTGGTGGAAAAGAGTCAACCTTCTGCCTTCTAGACCACACTGAACATTTTTCTTTAGAGCTCAAGACACCCATTTTAATTCTCGGTGCTAATGTCTGGTAATGGGAGAAATGCCTTGGTTTTATGCCGTGTTACCTCTCCAGAAGCCGAGGTGTTTACACATTCTTCCTTCTAATCCTCTAAAGGATCTGCCTATTGTGGGGGGGGGAAGGAGAAGGAAAAATCTTATTTGACTGTTTTCCCTTTAGCTGCTAAGTGTTCCTTGTTCAATTATTTCCTCAGAAAACATGGTAAGAGGCTTAGACGAGGATGAGACTAACTTCCTTGATGAGGTTTCTCGACAGCAGGAACTCCTGGAAAAGCAACGAAGAGAAGAAGAACTGAAAGAACTGAAAGAATACAGAATATCCTTTGTACTTTGAGAGAAATCTGTACGGTGTCTGCTTTCTCATCAGCGTCTGGATTTGAGTTTCTTCACAAATCGAATGAAAATAAGCTTTTTCTACCTAATGATTCCCGAGTTCCCTTTCAACACTGGTGTCCCTAGGACTGAATCACTGGCAGCGATTTATAGAGTTAGGTTGCATGCGAGAGTCTGTTGAAATCAAAAATCCAGATCCTTTAGGATTAACTAAAGGCCTAAATCCTAATAGTCAGTACCAGGGTATTTTTGCCTTGTGGGATTAGACTCTGAAACAGATGGGCAATGCAGTAAACTCATCCAGGGGAGAAATTGGCTTCTGAGGTTTTTTGTTTGTTTGTTTTTGTTTTAAGTATTTATTTGACAGAGAGAGACACACACAGCGAGAGAGGCAACACAAGCAGGGGGAGCGGGAGAGGGAGAAGCAGGCTTCCCGCTGAGCAAGAAGCCCGATGCGGGGCTCGATCCCTGGACTCTGGGATCATGACCTGGGCCGAAGGCAGACGCTCAACGACTGAGGCACCCAGGCGCCCCGGCTTCTGAGTTTTAAAAGGAAATGTTTAGCAACTCTCGTGTTTTTATTAAGACCTTCCCTAGAGGTGTAGCTTGGTCTGTCCCCACAGAAGGGTAGAGAAAACAAGAACGATGACTTCACTTTGGCTCAGTGTTGCCTTTTTCTCCTCCACTTGCATGTCTGAATAGGCATCCCACCTAGAGCTTGGCTGAATCTGAATTCTCAATTCTGTGTGCCACACCCCTACCCTCGACTCATCACACTGCTCTTGCCCCCCAAGTCTCTTCTTTTTCTACTCTTTCTGATCTCAGTAATGGCACTCCTATGCCCCAAGGTGCCTGGGCCAAAAACTACCTCCAAAATGTACTCCAGATCTGTGCAGTTCAGCTGTCTGTCCTTCTTGGGACCACTGTGAGCACCAAATTAGTCTCTGCTTCTGCTCTCGTCCTCAACAATCCATTCTCCAGACAGCAGTCAAGAGGAACATTTGAAGACATATGTGGAATCATGTTACTTTCCTATTTGAGACACTCGTGGCTTCCTGTGGCATTTACACTTAAGTCTACATTTTTTACCAGTCCCTGCATGATTTAGGCCAACCCATCTTCCTTTTGCGTCTTGAACTCACTCCTTCGTGTTCACTGTACTCCAGCCTGTTGGCCTTCTTTATGTTCCTCTCACACTGAGCTTTGTGATTTCATTTCAAGGCCTTTATATATATATAATATATATATTATATATATATATTATATATATATATATAATATATATATATTTTTTTGGCCTGGAATGCTCTGCCTTATGATTTGACAAGGCTGGCATTTGATAGCACTTGGGTGTCAGCTCCCATCTCTCTTCCTCATAGAGACCTCCCCTAGGCACCCCTTCTAACATTTCACTGAACCATGTCACTGTGTATGATGTCACCTTTTTTTTTCCGAAGATTTTATTTATTCATGAGAGACAGAGACCCACTGATACAGAGACACAAAGAGAGGGAGAAGCAGGCTCCCTGCGGAACAGGGAGAGCCTGATGCACGGGGCTCGATCCCAGGACCCCGGCCGGGATCATGACCTGAGCTGAAGGCAGACACTTAACCGACTGAGCCACCCAGGTGCCCTGATGTCACTTTTTGATAGTAATTTTCACTCCTGAAAAATCTTAATTTGCTTACTGGTTTGTTTGCCTCTTTACTGGGGAATGTCAGGTAAGATGCATAAAAATAGGGACCTGGTCACCACTGATTTCCCTAGTACCTGGCATGTAGGTTCTCAGTGTATATGTGAACAAAGTAATGAATGACCCTTAGGAGAGGTTGATGAAGCCACCATAGCTTTTTTCCTATGAGAAGGCTTATTTGAATATCTCAAGCTTATGTTGAATAACCTCACTAGTGTGATTGAACAGTCTTTACCTCTAAAATTGATGATACGACTGCGTGTATGTGCTAGTTGGTATTTTTTTGGGAGCATGCAGTAGGTTCCATTAAAGAGCTGTGTAGGAGAAGATGTGGAGTGATTCTCAGGGATTTGGTTTAAATCAAGGTGACTGACAATGGTTGAGATAAGGGGGCAGCATGATGCCACAAAACCTTCTCTGAACTGGTAGCAAAAGACTTGGCTTCCAGTTCCAGTTTTCCTAGTGGAATTGTGGTATAACATTTAAGATTGGAAAGTCACACCTCAATCCCAACTGTAGGATTGAGGCTGACTCCTCTGGAGCTCCCCTCCCCCACTGCCTTCCCTGGTGACTCCAGAATAATAGTGTGCGTTGATGTTTACAGAGATGGGCAGATAGATGTATTAAATTGTGTCAGGCACCAGACTTTTTCCCCTCAGGAAATACGTTAATTATACCAATCACTAGAATAGTGTCTTGTTTTATGTGCTTCATTTGGCAGGCGAGCAAATAAGATGTATCTCCCAAAGCAGCATTCTGGAGAGTAGTGTTGGTTTGGTATGAGTGTGCAGGGCCCTTCAGTTTTCAGTTCAAAGGGAAGTATAAATAGGGCAGCAGTAAAGTGGAAGAAACTTTCCTGCCCTGCTAACATTACAGTACAACATTGTAGAGGCCCCAGGGGTAATGGCTTTTGTTGGAAACTTGGTAAGTTCCGACTGTCTAGAAAAACTGAGGAAAAGCCTTTCAACCCACTGATACATAATGCACTAATCCTAGCATGCAGGTAGCCAGAGACATGTTGAGATAGGAACTGAAGGATTAGCCATTTGTTTATTGAAGCTCTAAATCAGGAGCTGGTTCTTGGCTTTGCTTGATTGTTATAATATACTTTTTATAATGTGATACTTGTGAAGGCAGATAAGCTGTGGTTTGTGCCATATAAACAATAGAACTCTTGTTTTCTTCAGAGTATTTGAGAGTATGAAAGCAGTATTATGTGTTAAGAACTATGTAATTTTTAAAGATTTTATTTATTTGACAGAGGACACAGCGAGAGAGGGAACTCAAGCAGAGGGAGTGGGAGAGGGAGAAGCAGCCTTCCCGCAGAGCAGGGAGCCCGATGACCTGAGCCTAAGGCAGACGCTTAAGGACTGAGCCACCCAGGTGCCCCCAAGAACTATGTAATTTAAAAAAATTCCTCATCTAATGAATTCTTTGAGATTTTTGAGGTGTGTTTGTGTTTTTAAAGCATCTTAGGGGGAGAGGAACTTAAGGGGAAAAGGGCTTATGATTTGGCTATGAATCAAAAGTAATAATTTTACCCCCCCAAAAAAGAAAAGGTTGGAGGCTTTTTTTTTTCATTTTAAAAGAATAAAAAGTGAAGTGTTGGGTTTTGTTTGTGTCCTACTATTATAAAAACGTGCCTGTTCTTTTGTTAATTTTTTCCATTTTTGTGTTATTTTTCAATATTAAGAATTCTGTAAGAGTTTATCCCTTAACAATGGAGTTGCAGGTAAAAATCAGCATGCTGGTGGTTTTTGGCATTTGGTATTAGAAGGATGAAACCTGATTCTTTCATTTTTATTCTAGAAAACCAAACATGTAATGTTAACATATTATCAGCTTTCATGTTGACTTTGAAACCATTAAATTGATGAAACTCAGTACTGAGCATTTTGCATAATCCCCATTGAATACTGCAAATATTTAAGGTAACTGGTGCTTGCAAGAACAGAGGTAGTGCCTGAAGAGTGATCAGAATTAGAATGTCCTTATTTCTGGTACCCGATTTTCTTCAGTGTTCAAAGACCATATACCCCTCTGCCCACCCCTTTGGGCTGATAATACCTGCTTCTTAGATTTCTTGGTCACTAGATGTCACTATTGTTCCAGTAAGGCACTGCTGCCTCTTAAATAAGGAATTGCACCACATCCAGCATTGAAAGCTCTTGCCTGGTGGGTTGTGAGAGTATGAAACGGAAGGAGAGGAGAGGCTGGTGGAGAGAACAAAAAAAAGTGACAAACCTTGACAGCCAGAGATTGACATCAGGCCTGTGAGAAGTGATGTTACAAGTGAACTGGTTGTGCTTTTGTTTATTTTTTTAAAGATTTATTTATTTTAGAGAAGGAGAGAGAGAGTGCGAGCATGAGCAGGAGGGGCAGAGGGAGAGCGAGAGAGAATCTCAAGCAGACTCCATGCTGAGCGGGTGTGGAGCCCAGTGTGGGGCTTCGCCTCACAACCCCTAGACGGCAACCTGAACTCAAACCAAGAGTTGGACGGCTTAACTGACTCTGCCACCAAGGCACCCCTGGTTGTGCTTTTATTTTTTTAAAAATTTTTTAAACTTTTTTTTTTTTTTTTTTTTTTTTAAGATTTTATTTGACAGAGAGAGAGACAGCCAGAGAGGGAACACAAGCAGGGGAAGCGGGAGAGAGAGAAGCAGGCTCCCACAGAGGAGGGAACCCGACACGGGGCTCGATCCCAGGACCCTGGGATCATGACCTGAGCCGAAGGCAGACGCTTAATGCCTGAGCCACCCAGATGCCCCAAAACTTTTTAAGATTTTATTTATTTTAGAGAGAAAGCATGAGCAGGGGGAGGGGCAGAGGGAGAAGCAGGCTCCCTGCAAAGCAGGGAACTTGATGCAGGGCTCAATCCAAGGACCCTGGGATCATGACCTGAGCCGAAGGCAGATGCTTAACTGACTGAGCCACCCGGGAGCCCCTGGTTGTGCTTTTAAAAACGTTTTGGGAGGCGCCTGGGTGGCTCAGTTGGTTAAGCGACTGCCTTCGGCTCAGGTCATGATCCTGGAGTCCCGGGATCGAGTCCCATTTCAGGCTCTCTGCTTAGCAGGAAGTCTCCTCCCTCTGAGCCTCCCCGCCTCATGCTCTCTCTCTCTCAAAATCTTTTAAAAAAATAACGTTTTGGTTCATGTGTTGCATATGCACTGGGGTTTCTCATTAAAATCACATTGAAGAGGGGTTTAAAACCATTTCCTGGGCCTCTGGAGGTCCTCATTCAGTAGGTTTGGGACAGGGGAAGGACTCTGTTTTTTAATGAGCCTTAAGGTGCTTCTGATGTTGTCTTGTACCAGCAGAGGAGTTAGTCTTTGTGATGTCCAAGATTGAATGCTACTATTGGTCATAGGACATTCTGCAAGATTTGATTTTACCCTTGGGCAAAAAAAGCAAATACTTAAAAATTTTCAGGGAAGCCACATTTTTTTCTGTGGCATTTATATTTCTTAAGATCTTTGTCTACCCCAGCAAGATGTGGCCCTGTCTTTGAGGAGGCTTTCTGACCATAACTCAGATTTTCATTGAGAATCAGAGGGGAAAAGTTTGCTTTTCTGTAATATTTGGCTTGATTTGGCTTTTTCCTCCATGGTTACCTTCATTTCTCTTCAAATCAGCTGGATATGACTGGCAGAATAAAGAGTAGAGGGCATTGTTTTTAATATAAGTAGGCTAAACATTACATGGCAGAGCTGAAGAGCTAGTGCATTATATGGGTCTTCTCTTGATTTACCATTGTCCTGCTGTAGCTCTTTTTGCTTAGTTTGACCCTTAACCTCTAACACAGTAATCTCAACAAAGTTGGAATTTCTCCAGAAAACAAGAAGGAGGTGGAGAAGAAAGTGGCTGTGAAACCCATAGAAACCAAGAACAAGTTCTCCCAGGCAAAGCTGTTGGCAGGAGCTGTGAAACATAAGAGGTCAGCCAGCACTCGCACGGCTTCAGTCTCCTCTGCCTGTGTACTCTGAAATGCCACTTGTAATGGTAGGCTGAGCAAACGTTTACCTAAGCGGCAGTCTTGGTGACGTTTCTTTGGTAGCCCTACCTCTCTCTCCCCCTCCAGATTTGAGCCTTGTCTCTCTGATTATTCGTTCAACAGAATAATAGCTACTCTTCACTGGACACCTGTCATGTGGCAGGCATTGTGTTAAGTGCTTTCCATTGTGTTAATGATCTTACTCTTTCCACAAGTCTACATAGTACAAGTTTGGTTGAGAACCTTTGTCCAAGATCACAAGTAAAGAAAGGTGGATTTCAATATTTGAGCATCTGTTTCTAGGCAGAGGAGGGAAGCGAGTTGTGTGAAGGCATTTGGGTAGGGTCTTATGGGGGCAGGGAGGAGGAATCCCATAGCTCCCTGGAGAGGGCCTGTGAGCTCAGGTTGGGGAAGGTAGGGAAGGCAGTAGAGGGCGATGTTGACCAGGTAGATGACTAGGGCTTTGACAGGCAGACAAGGGGGAGAACATCCTGGGCAGTGGGAGCAGCTGCTGCAAAGGCACTGTGGCCTGTGAGACCATGGAAGCTATAACCGTGGCACAGACCTGACTGGGTTCTTTGCTGATTGATGTGGGGTGGCAGCACTGCCTAGAGGTTTTGATAAGTTCTGTCTTAGGTTCCTCCCCTGCTAAATCCTGAAATGGCGCCAAAGTGATGAAATCTGGTCATTTCAACTTGACCATACCATGGACGAAATAATGTTAAGTGTGAGTGCAGTCTATTAGGAAAATCAGTATGGCATATTGGCAACCAGCCACGTGTTTTCAAGGGAGTGCATTGATGCACTCCTGTGGTTTGGCGCACCATCCATCTGCTGCAGATGTTCCTTGGAACACTGCTTACATATAAAAATGTTGTCATGGTTTAGCAGTGGAGGGGAGGAGTAGCACTAACCTGAAAACGGCCAGTTACGTGAGCCATGGATTATTCCTTTCAAGTTATTTTGGGGTGGGGGGTGGTGGGCAGAGGGAGAAGCAGGGGGAGGGAGAATGTTAAGCAGGCTCCACGCCCAGCGGGGAGCCCGATGCGGGGCTCCATCTCTCAACCCTGAGACCATGACCTGAGCTGAAATCAAGTCAGACACTTAACTGACTGAGCCACCCCAGGTGCCCCTATTCTAAGTTCACAGAAGCTTTCATGCCTGGCCCAGTGTCTTTCAGGATTTGGTCCTGGGTCAGTTCTATTGGACTTCACCAAGAAAGGGCTCTCTAGGTGGGCACTTAGATACTTCTCAGCAGTGTCAGCTGCTAGCAGAATGGACGTTATAACTGCCTCCCTTACTTAGTCCTTAGCTCACCTTTTATTAGATCATCATTTATTGTCGTTTTGTGTGGCAAGATGCTAAATGAGTCTCCTGGGGCAGGCGTTCCTCATCTAACCAGGCCTGGGTTTAATAGAATCACCCAGGACTTTGTTAATGTGGATTCTAGGCCTCTCACTAATTCTGATTCATTAAGCTTGAAGTGAGGTCTTAGAGTCTAATCTTTCAAGTTGCATGGATGATTCTGGTGCTTGTGAAAGAAAGTCTGATGCCTGGTGTGTGCTTAGGACACGATCAACATGACTGAGCCTACCTCTGTGCTCTCTCTGCCTGCCATCCTCACCCCATGCTTCCAAATCTGCTTGATCATTCTTCTGCATGTCTTTACTTTTAGGAGTTTCGGGGTGTGTGTGTGTGGGGTCGTTTGTGTTTGGTTTGGTTTTGGCTACCTATATAGGTATCCCTAAACAGTATTAATAGCTTCCTTGGTTTTGAACTTTATAAAAATGGTTTCATTCTGTATATGATCTACAAATTTGGTTTTTCACTCAAATTGTTTCTGTGATTGAAACAATTTTGTGTGTGTATTCACGTGTATGTATAGCTGTAATTCATTCATTTTCCTTGCCGTATAACGGTGCTTTATATGAGATACCAAAATATGTCTGTTCTCTTGTGGATGCATGTTTGAACTAGGACAAATGGTGTCAAGAGGTTTAGGGCATGCTTATATATATGTGCAAATGTTTCTCCAGAGCTCTCCCATCCAGTATGGTAGCCCTTGGCCACCTATGGCTATCTAAATTTAAATTAATTAGAACTTAAATTTAAAATCCAGGTCCTTAGCCACACTAGTCACATTTCAAGTGTTAATGTGGCTAATTGCTGCCCTACTGGACAGCACAGATACAGTGATACATAGTGATTTTGTAAAATACTGTCTCCTTGTGGTCTTAATTTGCATTTCCTGTTAACTGACCTATTTTATATGTTGATTTGCCATTCATGTGTCCTATTATGTGGAAGGTCTGTTCATATATTTTGCCATTTTTCTACTGGGTTATTTGTATTTTTCTTTTTTTCTTTCCTTTTTTTTTTTATTTGTATTTTTCTTAATAATTCGTAGGTTTATTTTTTTAAATATGGTTCTCACTTTTTCCCCCACAGTTTATAGCTTTTCTTTTTACTTTAATTAATTTTAAGGTGGTCAAATATATGTGATTTTAAGGTGGTCAGTTTTTTGTTTTTGTTTTGTTTTTTAAGTAGGCTCCACTCCCAGCATGGAGCCCAATGTGGGTCTCAAACTCACAACTCTGAGATCAAGACCTGAGCTGAGATCAGGAGTCGGATGTTTAACCAGCTGAGCCACCCAGGGCCCCAGAAGCTTATTTTCTGGCAACATTTACTAAATATTTCTACCTTTCCCCAGTGACCTTCAGTATCACCTCTGTCTTAAAACAAGTTCCCGAGATCCATGGGTTTGTTTGGGAGTTCCTTGTTTTCTGTTCCTTGGATCTGTTGGACCAGTACCACTCTGTGTAATTATGGTAGCTGTATAAAAAATCTTGGTATCTGGTAGGACAAGTCCACTTATATTTTTCTTAGGGGTGTCTTGTCTACTTTTGGCCACTTCGTTCTTCCATATACATTTTAGATTTAGATACATTTAAATTTTAGATTTAGATTAAATTTTAGATTAAGTTCTTTAAGTTTATTGGAATCTTACTAAATGGCTTGATAAATTTATGGAGAGAACAGATCTTTGCGGATGTGAGTCTTTCTACACATGGCATATATCTACATTTATTTGTTTCTTTAATGTCATTCAGTAAAGTCTTAACAGATTTTTTCCAAAAGGTTGTGCATATCTTTTGTTAGATTTATTCCTAGGTGTTTTAGATTTTTTTGTTGTTGTTGTTGGTTTGTAAAAGTGCAATTGATTTTGGAGTATTTACATCTAGCCACTCAGCTCTTACTAACCTTAACAATACTCTTTGATAACTCTTACTTTTATTAGTGGATTCCTTTGAAATTTCTGTGTAGAGAGTCACTATCTGTGAATAATGACAGCTTTATTCTCTTATACCTTTTAATTTTTTTTTAAAGATTTTGTTTATTTATTTGATAGAGAACACAGAGGGAACGGGAGAGAGAGAAGCAGACTCCCCACTGAGCAGGGAGCCTGATGCAGGGCTTGATTCCAGGACCCTGGGATCACGAGCTGAAGGCAGATGCTTAACCGACTGAGCCACCCAGGCGCCCGTGATTTCTTTGTTTTTTTTTTCGTTCTTACTGCACCAAGCAATGATCACCAATAAAATGTTGGAAACAATGACTATGCACATCCTTGTTTTAAACAGAACATTTATAACTTTTCATCATTAAGAATAGTATTTATTGTTTTTTTTTTAGATAACTTTTAGCAGTTTAAGGAAGTTATGTTCTTAGTTTGATAAGGTTTTTTTGTAGCCACAAATTGTTAAATTTTGTCAATTTTTTTGTTTTTGAATTGATGAAATTTTTTTTTTATTCTGTTATGGTGAAAAATTAAGTTTAAGGATTTTTCTAATGTATTCCTGTGATAAAACTAGCTTGGCTGTGATGTATTTAAATTTTTTTTTAATTGAAGTATAATTAACATACAGTGTTATTAGTTTCAGATGTACAACATAATGATTCAACAATTCTGTACATTACTCAGTGCTCACTATAAGTGTAGTTACCAAACATTACAATCCTATTAACTATATTCCCTATGCTGTGCTGTATTATAATTATTTTTAACTGCACTGGTTTGGTTTGCTAATATTTTGTATAGGTTGTTAGATCTGTGTTCATAAGTAAGACTTGGTCTGTTTCTCCCCACCCCCACTTTTTCTGATTTTGATATGAAGTTTAAAAGTAGCTTCATAGAAGGATTTAGGGAGTGTTCTGTCTTCTTCTGTTCTCTGGAGGAGTTTGTATAAGATGGTAATGTTCTGTTTTGTGAAAATTTGGTAGAACTCCTCTATATAATCATTTTGGTCTTGCTTTTTAAAATTTGTGATTATAGGGTTATTTAAGTTTCTTCATGGTTTTTTTTGAGTCTGTTTTATTTAGTTATATTTTCTGGGAATTTGTCCATTTTGTCTTGTTTCAAATGCATTTGCTAAAGTTGTTAGTATTTTTTATTTTTCTGATTGCTGCTGTATCTATAATTGTCCCCTTTTTCATCCCAATTATTGATGGATTATTCTTCTTATTTTGGCTAGTTTCTTCATTTCTCCTACCTTCTTTCTTTGGGATGTTCTTTACTTCCCTCAAGTTTATTCTTTTATAATTTCTGTTACAAATGAGTGTCAGATACCTAGCTAATCAATTTTCCTCTTTTCTTTTCAATTAGAGACAACTAAAACTGTAATTCTTCCTCAGCTTTTACTGTATACAATTTTGTATTTCCAACTAAATATTTTTAAATATCCATTATGATTTCTTCTTTGACTCCTAAATTAGAAACAGTTTTTAAAGTTTCCAAACATATTGAGATAGCTTAACTATATTTCATAGGTTCTAAGATGAACCTTCCCCCCACATTTTAACACCTTATAATCGGTCGTGTCTTAGAGTCTGTGATATATTTGTCTTTTGTTGTTTTCTACCTTAATTGTGGTTTATAGGTACTGATTTTGAAATTGCTTTAAACTCGCTTTGTGACCTATTCCTGAGGTTAATTTTTGTGAATGTTCAAAGTGAGCTTGAGGAGAATCATGTTTGTAATTATTCTGGGTTCTGTGTAGGTACAAACCAAAGAAGTTTGTTAATTTTATTGTTTAAATTTTATGTGTTTTTATATCTTTGCTTGCTCTGTCAGTACTTGAGTATTTTGAAATCTCCCATTATAGTGATGTTTTCTTTTTCTTCAGAGTTCTGTTGAATATTTATTTTAAGCTCTCTAATTAGAAGCATACATGTTCAGAATTATTATTTCTTCAGTGAATTAAACTTTGTTTCATTATAAACTAACCTACTTTATCTCTTGTAACGTTTTTGTTCTTAAATTCTGTTTCCCTAATATTATAATAGGTAGCTCAACCTTCTTTGGGTTAGTATTTGCCTTGGTAACTCTTGCTGTTCTTTTGCTTTCAGTCTTTCTGGGTCTTAAGTTGTTTGTTTTTGTTAACTTTTTTGGCGTGTCTCATAAATAGCTGATTTTAAATTTAGGCTGTTAATCTCGTTTTATAGGTAGGCTTAGATTTTTTAGGATTTTTGGTATGGTTTCTGCTATCTTAATTGTATTTTTACTTTAAAAATATTTTTTTCCTCCTGTTCTTTAAAAATTATGATTTTAAAATCTTTTGTTCGTCTGTTTGGATTTGTGTTTTCTGGTTTTGGTGGCTAAACTTGCAACTTACCAGAAATACTTAGCAAAACCTAAAGTTAAATAGCTGTCTTACTTTCCTACAAAATTATACATGGACCTTAGAACTTTGAGCTATAATCACGTCTTCCTTACATGCTGCTACTGCCCAGAACTTTAGTATGGTCATGTTTAACACACAAATTAGATTGTATTTGCCGGTTTCTTTGTTCACTAACCCTTCCTTCTGTGATTACGGCCTTCTTTCTGAGATCATTTCTTTCCTTGTTGAAGTGCTTGCTTTTTTTCTTTTTTTGACTGCCCTAAATATTAGCAGTAATGGTAGAGCTGGAGGTATGGTTATGCCTTCTCTAAGCTACACAGCAGGAGAAGTACATTCTTTTGACATTCTTTCAGTGAAGGTATTTTGGGTGACTTTCAGAATCTCTAGCATGTCACTAAAGAAGAGATTTCCTTTAATCTTTAAGAACTTAACTAAATTTTTGTCATGTGTGAATGTGTCCAGGTAGTCCTGCAACCCATCTTTGGTTCTAACCAAGATGAATAATAAGGACAACAAAGAATCTGAAGTTTAGGTGATGCTTGAAGATAAAGTGCTCCATTCCTTGAACTGGCCAGGGGTTTAAGTTGTCTTTATAACAATAACGTAATTGGAAGGAGATTAAGAACCTGAAATGAAGACTTTTCATTTCAGACCACCCCAGTTCTTTGAGGCTACCTAAAATACAAATGGTTATTGGAGCTCCTGATTTCAAAAGTTTTAATCCCCAAGATTGGACATAGCTCAAATTACCATATTTTTTGTTACAGCTCAGAGAGTGGCAACAGTGTGAAAAGACTGAAATCGGACCCTGACCCAGATGACAAGAGTCAAGGTAGGTGGCAGCTTCCATTTCACTATTCATAATACACATGAGCCATAGTACAGGGGTGGACTGCATTCTATCTATGAAGGAATGCATGGATCTCTAAGCAAGCCTTTTTCTACCAAGCAGGATTTATACCCGAGTATATCAGCTGCCCTGCCAACCAGTATGTTAGAAACCAGTGGAATTGATAGATGACAATTGTGATCCCCCAGAAGTGCTTACATAGACAAAGCCCTTGTCATATCACTTCTGCTCACAAAGGGTTTTTCTCAGTCTCCCCCAAATGTCAAGTTTCTTGATTTCACCTGGCTGGCTACCAGTGAGAGGTAGAATGCCTGGCTCTTGCTGATGTTTGATTGGATTGAGGCTAGAAGCCTAATAACAGTCTCCAGAAGTATACTTTCTATGGTGGTTACTTGTATGCAATCAAATCTGGCACTGTATTAAGTGGCACAGAGTTGTAAGTGAAGGTGAGTGTTCCTGAGGGCTGGATCAGGGATGAGAAATTCAGGAGTGTTTTTAGTTCTACCTGGGACTCCCTGTGTGATTGAGATGCTTTGCTAAACTCAATGGGTCATCTATAAAACAGGGCTCACATTTATGTCTCTCCAAAAACTAATGGATAGTTAAAAATAATATATCTGCCAAGTAACTGGAATTTAAATAAAAACTTTAAAAAATGAAAACAAGAGGGGCGCCCGGGTGGCTCAGTTGGTTAAGCAGCTGCCTTCGGCTCAGGTCATGATCCTAGGGTCCAGGGATCGAGTCCCGCATCGGGCTCCCTGTTCGGCGGGGAGCCTGCTTCTCCCTCTCCCTCTGCCTGCTGCTCCCCCTGTCTCTGCTCGCTCGCTCTCTCTCTCTCGTCAAATAAATAAATAAAATCTTAAATATATATATATCTATATATATATCTATATATATCTGCTGAGGGGCACCTGGGTGGCTCAGTTGGTTAAGCATCTGCCTTCGGCTCAGGTCATGATCCTAGGGTCCTGGGATCGAGCCCTGCATCAGGCTAACTGCTTGGCCGGGAGCCTGCTTCTCCTCCTCCCCCTGCCCCCCCCCTCCCTGTGATCTCTCTCTCTCTCTGTGTCAAATAAATAAATTAAATCTTTAAAAAAATATGCTGAGCATTGGTAATGGTGGGCTGATGCTGATAACTTTTTGCTCTTAGAATTTACTTTTTTTTTTTTAAGGGGGGCCTAGGAGGGGCAGAGGGAGAGGGAGAGAGACAATCTTAAGCAGAGAGCAGAGAGACAATCTGGGTGTGGAGCCCAACTCGGGGCTCAATCTCAAACCCTGAGATCATGACCTGAGCTGAAATCAAGAGTCAGAGGCTTAACTGACTGAGCCACCCAGGCACCCCTAGAATTTACTTTTAAAAAGCACATTGAGTGAAGAGTCCCCTTTCAACATTATATATCCTCTTCCATCTAGTTCTTCTGAGAGGGAAACAGTATTATACATTTCTTTTGCATATATCCAGAGCTATTGTATGTATATACAAGCAATTATAAATATATTCTTTTAAAAATAAAAAATATCTTATTATAGGCAACTTAAAACATATTCAAACGTTGAGATAATAGAATAATGAACCCCATCATGTAGCTTCAACAATTTTTAACACTTGTCCAATCTTATTTATACCTTCTCAACTGTAGTGTTTTGAGGCAAATACCAGACATTATATTGTTTTGTCAATAATTCTTCTTTATCCCTAAAAAATAAGAGTTCTTTGTTTTTTAACAAGATTACAATACCATTATCACACCTAAAATAATTACAATAATTTCTAAATATTATCAGATAGCAAATTAGTATTCATTTTCCCCAGTTTTCTCATAATATTTTTTTCTTGACAATTTTTTAAAAATCAGGATTCAAGCGAGGATCAGACATACATTGTATTTGCCCTATATGGCTTTTAAAAAAATACTGAGATGGACCATAAAATTCATTCTTTTAAAGGACACAATTCAGTGGTTTTTAGTATGTTTCCAGGAATGTGTATTCATCACCACTATTTAATTCCAAAACATTTTCATCACCCCAAAAAGGGGCCCCATACCCCTTAACAGTTACTCCCCATTCTTCCCTCTCCCCAGCCACTGGCAACCACTCTTCTACTTTTCTCTATGGATTTGCCTTTTCTGGACATTTCATATAAATGAAATCATGCAGTATGTGGTTTTTTTGTGTCTAGCTTCTTTTCTTTTTTTTTTTTTTTTTAAAGATTATTTGAGAGAGAGAGAGAGAATGAGAGAGCATGAGAGGGAAGAGGGTCAGAGGGAGAAGCAGACCCCCCGCTGAGTAGGGAGCCTGATGTGGGACTCGATCCCGGGACTCCAGGATCGTGACCTGAGCTGAAGGCAGTCACTTAACCAACTGAGCCACCCAGGCGCCCTCTAGCTTCTTTTCATTTAACCTTTTCACTTTACAAAGGTCATCCATGTTGTAACATGTTTTGGTACTTTTTACAGCTGAATGATCTTCCATTGAATGGTATGCTGCATTTTGTTTGTCCAGTCATCCGTTGATCGGCATTTGGGTTGTTCACGCTTTTTGGCTCTTCTGAATGATGCTGCTGTGAACATTCGTGTACAAATTTTTGTGTGAACAACTATTTTCAGTTCTCTTGGGTATATACGTAGGAATGGCATTTCTAGGTCATATGGTAACTCTATATGGTTGACTTTTTGAGGAATTGCCAAATTGTTTTCTCACGCAGCTGCATCATTTTTACGTTCTATCAGCAATATAGAAAGGTTCCAGTTTCTTTATATCCTTTTTTAAAAAATATTTATTTGAGAGAGAGCACAAGGGAGAAAGAGGAGGAGAGCAGGGGGGAGGGGCAGAGGGAGAGGGAGAAGCACTCTCTGCTCAGCAGGGAGCCCGATGTAGGGCTCAATCCCAGGACCCTGAGATCAGGACCCGAGCCAAAGGCAGACCCCCAACCCACTGAGCCACCCAGGCGTCCCTTTACATCCTTATCAACACTTGCTATTTTCTTTTTTATTCTGTTCATTTTTGTGGGTGTGAAGTGATATTTCATTTCCCTAATGACTAATGATGATGGCATTATGTACTTACTGGTCATTTGTATATCTTCTTTGGAGAAATATTTACTCAAATCCTGACCCTATTTTTAAATTGGGTTACTTTTTAATGTTGAGTTGTAAGAATTCTTTATATATTCTGGATATTAGACATTTGTCAGATATATGATTTACAAATATTGTCTTCCTTACTGTGGGTTTCATTTTCTTTGATAGAGTCCTTTGGAGCACAAAATTTTTAAATTTTGAGGACATCTAATTTAATCTATTTTTTCTTTGGCTTGCTTATGCTTTAGGTGTCATATCTAAGAAACCATTGCCTAACCCATGGTCATGAAAACTTAGATGTATGTTTTCTTCTAAAAGTTTTATGGTTTTAGCTCTTACATTTTGGTCTTTGATCCATTTTGAGTTATTTTTTGTTTGTGGTTTGAAGTAGGGATGCATTTTCATTCTGTGTGTATATCCAGTTGGTCTGCACCATTTGTTGAAAAGACTGTTTTTACCAGACTGAATTGTCATGGCATTTTTGCTAAAAATCAGTTATCTAACATGTATGGGTTTATTTCTGGACTCTCCTCTTCCATTGATCTGTATGTCTATCCTTATGCCATTAGCACACAGTCTTGATCACTATAGCCTTGTAGCAAGTTCTGAAATTGGGAAGTGTGAGTTCTCCAAATTTGTTCTCTTTCAAGATCATTTTGGTTATCTGAGGTCTCTTGCAAATCCATATGAATTTTGGGATCAACTTATCAATTTCAATAAAAAAGGCAGTTGGGATTTTGATAGGCATCGCTTGAATCTGTAGATCAGTCTGAGAATATTGCCATCATACGGCATCTTTACAATAGGCTATTATGTCTTTTAAGTTGCATTTGACCTATAAGTTCTTTTGTATTTATTTTTTTGTTTCCTTTGTTTTTGTGAAGAAACTGGGTCTTTGTCTTGTGAGTTTCCCATACTCTAGATTTTGCTGATTGTGTCTCTATGGTGTTCCTTTATTCCTCTGTTTCCTGTAAAATGGTAATTAGATCTAGAGCTCAGTCAATTCAAGTTGATTTTTTGGCAAGAATACTTCATATGTTGGTTTGTGCTCCCTATCATCATCAGCATTGTTATTTTAATTAATATACTCTTCTATTCATTGCTTAATTCACATGTACTTTGGGGATCCTTACATATCTGTACACAAAGAGCTTCATTCTTTTTTAAGACTATATAGTATTCCATTATTTGGTTGCACCATAGTATATTTATCCAATTTTTTAAATAAAGATTTATTTATTTTAGAGAGCTCACACACACAAGTTGGGGTAGGGACAGAGGGAGAGGGAGAGAGAGAGAATCTCAAGCAGATTCCCCGCTGAGCATGGGGCCCGGTGCAGGGATCTGTCTCACAACCCTGAGATCATGACCTGAGCCAAAATCAAGAGTCAGATGCTTAACCAACTGAGCCACCCAGGTGCTCCATCCTGCTTTTTATGATGAACGTTTAGATTGTTTCCATTTTTTCTCTGGTACGAGGTTTCATTAAATAACTTTGTACATGTATCATTTGTCACATTCATGCTATATTAGGGTAGATACTTAAAGGAATTATTGGGACAGAGAGGATATAAATTTGTAATTCAGATAAATGTTGCAAAATTGCCCTGCAAAGAAGTTATCCCAGTTTACATTCTCATCAGCAGTGTAGGAGCTCCATTTCACTGATATCTTTTTAATATATAGGAAACTTGCTAAATTGGCTGCTTAAATAGGATTACGTATATATTGTGTGTGTATACACATAGGTATATAAAACTTTACAGAAATCTTAAACATACTTCATCTAGTTAACTAGTAGCCCTGTATCTGGTGCTTATTCCCTTGTAGGAACTATTCGCATCAGTCAGTAGAAAGGAAAACTTGTGTGGCTTTTTAAAACTATCTCAGGTAGACACGTTTCAGAGCCACCTTTCTTAATCCCTTTGTCCTCCCCCACTCCATTCTCACAGTAGCATTCTTAGAGCTGGGCATGAAATACCCTCTTTTGCTAGAAGCTAAGGCCCCACAGGAAGAATACCCCTGAAAGCTTGCTTGAGAGTCTTGTCCTTGGCAGTAGAAGGCTTTGCCCCTTTCGTCCTCCCAGAAGGTAGCTCTGTAACCGAAATGGAGATTCAGGTTTCTCCCACTGGAGGCTCTGGACTTAAGCTCCAAGCAGAGCCAATGAATGAATGCACAGTTGGCCCCATTGACTCTCAAGTCACGCATCTCTTTGAATCCCAAGGACATTCTCTATTAGTAATTTTCGGTGTTAATTTGGTATGACAACGTGGTCCTGCAAATGCAGAAGTTGGCAGGAACTTCACCAAATGGGTGAGATCAGAGGGCACCATTTTGTTCTCTTTGGACAGTGTAACTATTTTTGGAATGAAATTTGTCAGAATTGCAGTCTCTTTTCTTTCTTGAAACCTAGATAATCGAGAGATTTGGTCTTTTGGCTTAAACTGCTGATGCCACCATGGTCCACATTCCTTGGTTTCATTTCGTTCTTCCTTTCTTTCTTTCCTTTCCTTCCCTTTCCTTTCTTTCCTTCCTTTTCCTCCCTTCCCCTCCCCCTCCCCTTCCCGTTGCCCCTCCCCCCGCCCCTCTCCCTCCCTTTCCCCCTCCCCTTTCTTCCTTCCTTGCTTCCTTCCTCTTTCTTTCTTTAGATTTATTTATTCATTTGGGGTGGGGAGAGAGACTTTCAAGCAGAGTCACCGGTGAGTGCAGGACTCAGTCTCATGACCCCTGAGATCATGATCTGAGCTGAAATCAAGAGCCAGATGCTTAACTGACTGAGCCACCCAGGCGCCCCTCCTTGGTTTTATTTCTGTGGCTGGCTTCCACCCTTCCCTTAGGCCGGCTCTAGTCTTACGCAGGTACTCGGAACTCAATCTTCCTTTTGTATCTAAGATAGAGCCTAAAATTCAGTTCACCCTTGAAATACTTAATAAAATGACATCTCACTGAACAGCTTCACATTAATTATTTTTCTGAGTAAATGGTTCATACCCTTATAAGATAGCAGGTTTTTTTTTTTTTTAAACCAAATCATACTTTTTTTTTTTTAAGATTTTGTTTATCTGAGAGAGAGAAGGAGAGAGAGTGCACAAGCAGAGAGGAGAGGGAGAAGCAGGCTCCCTGCTGAGCTGGGAGCCAGATGTGGGGCTTGATCCTAGGGATCATGACCTGAGCCGAAGGCAGATGCCTTAACCAACTGAGCCACCCAGGCGCCCCTATTCTCCCAAGTTTAAATTCCATTTGTTCTTTTTCTGTCCACTTTTTTTTTTTTTTTTAAGATTTTTTTTATTTATCTGACAGAGAGACAGTGAGAGAGGGAACACAAGCAGGGGGAGTGGGAGAGGGAGAAGCAGGCTTCCCGCGGAGCAGGGAGCCCGATGCGGGGCTCGATCCCAGGACCCTGGGATCATGACCTGAGCCGAAGGCAGACGCTTAACGACTGAGCCACCCAGGTGCCCCTGACCACTTCTTTTTAAAGTTGTTTATTTTAGAGAGAGCACAAGTGAGCACGGGGGGAGGACCAGAGGGAGAGGGAGAGTCCTCAAGCAGACTCCTTGCTGAGCATGGAACCCAACGTAGGACTTGATCTCATGACCCCAAGATCGTGACCTGAGCCAAAATCACAAGTTGGACACTCAACCGACAGCCACCCAGGCACCTCTGTCCCCTTTTCTGTTCAGTGGTTGGTTGGTTGGTTTTGGAAAAACTCTTTATATCCCAAAGAAGTCTGCTTTTGTGATATCTGTTGCATCTATCTGCCTCTGCTTTCCTGTAGTCTCGTCACCATCTCTGTGAGCAGTGTCACCTCTCATGTCACTTGTCTGTGTCTCCGTGTTTCACTGCTGCCTTTCTTCAGCAGCTTCTCTTCCCCTATTAGAACTTCCTGTAAGACAAGCGAATACACTGAGCTCCTGAACTCTGTGTATTGGCCGCTGGAGATCTCTTTTCGTTTCTCAGTGGTATTTTTGACTTACTCCTGACTTCATATACTTGGAACCATGTATCCTTTTCACATTTCGTTAGGGGCTTGTTAAGGCAAAAGCCTAGAAAGATACATGCTTGTCAGCCTGAGACAGGTTTGAACTCCAACCCTTACCCTACAGTGAGCTCTGGTATTGTTTTAGTACATCATTATTATTATTATTATTATTATTATTATTATTATTATTAGAGCATACATGCATGAGTGGGAGGGGGGTGGAGAAGAGGGGGGGGCAGGAGAGGGAGAAGCAGACTCCCCTCTGAGCAGGGAGCCCGATGCGAGGCTCAATCCCAGGACCCTGGGATCATGACCCGAGCCAAAGGCAGATGCTTAACGACTGAGCCACCCAGGTGCCCAGAGAGAGAGGATCCTAAGCAGGCTCCATTCCCAGCTCGGAGCCTGGCGGGCTCGATCTCATGACCTGAGCCAAAACAAAGAGTTGGATGCTTAACCGACTGAGCCACCCAATCGTCCCAGTTTTTTGATTCAGATTTGGTTTAACATTTTTTACTCTCAGTGGCCTTTAACCTTGGCCTAGTCGTTTGACCCCCCCTCATCAGTAAAATGGGGGATACCTACATATCAGGTTGTTGTAGAGATTCATTGAGGCTGGAAATATTTAGAGGCAATGAGAGGGGTGGAGTAGAGTTCTTAACTTTTCTTCTCACCCTCAAGTCCCCACGTTTCCTACACGTTTCCTAGATTGAGGCTTTCCATCACTGAGGTGCCGTGGCTCTGGGTTTCCCAGGGCGAAAAGAGCCCTGCCTACTTGGTCACATTCTGCACCATCTTAAAATGTTCTCTGAGCGTGGTGTCAGTTTTGTCAACAGTAAAAAAGGAACACAGCTGTCGGATGCAGGTGCCGGTGGTGCTGACTGCATAGGGTGGTTGGGGCTTCATGGTAAAGCCTGGGGCACAGTGCCCAGTGCCGTGGCCAGCACCCGTCAGCTCCGGGAAAGGAGGTGAAGTCACGGCCCTTCCTCCTGTCTTGCAGAAGCCCCATCCTGCATGTCTCTCGGCAGCACGTCCCTGAGCGCCCCTTCCATCCACTGTCCCTCCGCGGCGGTCTGCATCGGCATCCTCCCGGGCTTGGGTGCCTACTCCGGGAGCAGCGACTCCGAGTCCAGCTCCGACAGCGAAGGCACGATCAACGCCACCGGCAAGATCGTCTCCTCCATCTTCCGAACCAACACCTTCCTCGAGGCTCCGTAGCTCCCGTGTCCCCCCTCCCACCCCGACCCCGCCAGAGCTCCTGCCCAAGAGTAGGCCGGACGGTTTGTTCCAACTCCGGGCACCAGCTCCCTCAGAACTCCTTTGCCCGCTTCCTGTGCACACCGTGACATTCTTAGCCTCATCTAAAAATGTGCCAGAATTCACTTGTGGCCCCCCTTGTGTTTGGTCTCTCTTTCCACTCCAGTGCAGATGTCCAGACCTGTCCCGCCGCCATGGTGGGGCGGGGGCCGCGGCTCCGCAGAGATTCCCCTGGAAATGCCCTGGGAAGACAGGCACCCACTGGGACGCAGAGTGTCTGGATGCCGTTGCTTTCTTGTTTTCTCCTTTGTTTCCTTTCCCAACAGCACAGAGAAGCAAGGGCAGTTGCGGGACAGGTATCATCTATACCTTCTCTTCCAGCAGAACACACCGTGTGGTTGTACTGCGTGGGGGTGCATGTTGGGGGCCTGGGGGGAGGAGGGCCCAGGTGATGGACTGCTGCACTCCCTTGCAACTAACGGATTCTTGATGTTGTGTGACTAAGTAAAGATTATAAACTACATCTTCTGGGGGTGTCGCTTAGCGCTCATCACTCATTGTGGAGTTTTTCCGTATTCCTCCTTCCTCCTTCTCCCTCCATCCAGCGCCATTTAAGACCCTAAACCTTAGAGAAATGAACATGGGCCTATTTCATCATGGCCAGAAAGCAGAAGTGCGGGTAGGTATGTAGACGAGATGACTTATTTCTAGCAGCTTCTGGAATTCTGAGTGCCAACCAGTGGGACACACCTGCATATTCCGACCACTCTGTGCTCTGTTGACGCCCCTCTCTGGTCAGTATGCTATAGTTGAGGCTTCTAACTGTGCAAGCTCTTTCTGGCCTAAAGGTGCTGCCCTGTCCTTGCCTCCTCTCTCTTCCTGCACAGGGCAGCTTCAAGACTGTGAGCAGCCAAGACCTCTGTCTCCTAAAGGAGGCAGACGCTCTCCCTCCGGGATGGAGAGAGATGAGGTTAGGGGGAGGCATGGGCTTGAAAAACAAACAAATCTGTAGGCTCCCCTGCTCCAGGAGAATGAGTCTGTACAGTTCTCTCTTCCCCTGGGTTCCTACGTCAATTGTTTCTACTTCTTTGGGTGTGAGATGGAGAGAGACACACACAGAATGTGTTGACACTGTGATGCTGGCAGGCAGAGCAGCTACTCATTTTTAATGTGGGCAGAGAGGCCCCTGGCTCTCCTCCAACCCACTGCTTTTCCCCTTCCAATGCAGTGACACTCGTGCCCGTTAGCAGATGGTGACTTCCCTTCACCCATAAGCGATGCCTTGTGAATCCTTCCTCCTTTTCAGGACCGCTCCATGCTAATTGTTCCTGACTGTCAGCACAGGCGCCTCGGCTCCATCCTAACAGACAAGACATTTAGGTAAAACTGTGTAGGCACCTTCTGCTTCTCTGCTCCATTGTTCCTGCGATTGAGCTGTCGTCCTTGCAGCGCGCGCACCATTTCGGGAGGCAGACCGAGGAGTCAGGGGCACCATCTCTATGTGGTTTGACTTTTTTTTTTTTTTTAAGATTTTATTTATTTGCAAAAGAGCGCACGAGCGGGGGTGGGGGGCAGAGGGAGAGGGAGAAGCAGGCTCCCCACTGAGCCAGGATCCCAACGAGGGGCTCAATCCCAGGACCCTGGGATCATGACCTGAGCCGAAGGCAGACGCTAAACCATCTGAGCCACCCAGGCGTCCCTTTGGTTTGACTTTTAAGAAGCCACTACTATTACCTCGTGGCCTCTGTTGGGAGAAGGGACAAAAGGTTGTAGGGATTAAAACTGTACATTAACTTGAAAGCTAATGCACCTGTCCGAGAATAAGATCTTGTGCTCCCAACTCCCTCTCCATCTACTATAAGCTAGATTGTGTTGAGAAAGTTGAGGCTCCTTAGGTGGAGATTTCTGGTCTGTGGTGTCACAGGGGAGGCTGAGAGTCAGTGGTGATCATCTCATCGTGTTCATTGTACCTGTTGGTGTAGAGTCCTGGAATGGAGACACACGTGCCGTAGAACCGTAACTAGCAGAGCAGGACCTGGTCTCCCCGGTAGAGGAAGCAGCCTTGAAAAGCATCTAGTGTAGACAGTGTGGTTCCAACCCAAAGAAGGATAGAAAAAACAGGGACTGCTTTAATCCATAAAGTGCAGCCCTCGGGCCTGAATAAATAATTGGGGTTTTATAACTAGGTAATAAGGGCTAAAGACAAAGTGTGTGGTGGGGTTTCTTTAAACCTGCTTACATTGTCCTGAGTGGTAGTATTCTTGCAATTCTTGAACCAGGCAAGGGAGAAAGCCTGTTTGCCAGTTCTGTCTGGATTTTCTAGCCTGTGTCATACCACGCCCTCTCAACCACTTCTGATTTTGGACCCTGTTACCCGCTCGGGTGGGGAGAAAGTGTGAAATTGAAAGCATCCATTTTTCCAAGTATAAAAAGGGGGGACTGATGTGACTGGATCCAGAGACGACCTGGCAGTCTTACAGATGCCTTCCCTGGTCTCAGGACCCAGGAGGAGAGAAGAGCTGGCTTCAGGTGCATCTTAGACTGGAAGTTGGGCCCCTAACTAGGGGTGACCTGGGCCAGCTCTTTGCATCCTTGTTCGTTCCACTCTCCACCTGGGGTTCTTCCCTTCCGGCTACCTCCTTTCTACCCAGGACAAGCTGCTTTTGCTTCAGACTTCTGCCCATTGCTTCTGCTTCTCCCTGGGAACTAAGCCTAGTTCCCCCTTCCCTGGATATGCTGCAGTGATTAGGAGCTTAGAGCCAGACATTTCCTAGCTGGGTCAGTGGGGCAAGGTCCTTAACCTCTCGGGGCTTCAGTTTCATCCTTGGTCAGTAGAAATAATGATACCAACTTTCTAGTGAGGGTGAAAGCTAGTCTGGATTAGGTACTTGGTGTGGGATCTGGCTCAGAGTGTTCAGTAAATGGTAGCCATCCTCAATAGCCCTGATACTGCTGGCCTCTCCTGTAACATTCTGGGTAGGGTGTCCAGAGCTTCTGTTAGTGGTGATGTATGGTAGGTCTTCCCGTCCTACTGGCATTCCTCAGTTGCAGCTAGAACGTCGACATGATGAAGGGTCTGGTCTGGTCGTCAGAGCTCCAACCACCAGCTTCTGCTGTATGCTTCCCTCTCAGCTAAATGTTAATTGCTTAGGCACACCCGGTTCCTTGGCTCGGGTGTCCTACTCGTGGGTATATGGCTCAGCTGTTGTCTTAAGCCCCTTCCAGAAAAACAAAAAGGAGAGCTTAATGGCAGTGCACCATCATTTGGACTTGAGTGTTGTCTTGATTTTCTGGCGTGCCCAGCCTACTTACGCGTAATGGTGTGGAATGTAGGTTCTGCTTGGTGGGAGGCTAGAATCTTGGCAACATCCTTGTAGTCACAGGGTGAACACAAGCCAGTTGCACATTCATGCCTTAGTGACGCTGGCAGGGGCTGACATTTTGCTCCCTTACGTGCTGGAGCTATGGTTTAAGGAGAATGGGAGTGTCACAGCAGTGACAGGCAGAATGTGTCCAGCCTTACAGCTTTGTAGAGAAGGGCAGCAAAACCCAGAGACAGCCACCACTCTGAGCTGCTGGCGGGGCTTCACCCTTGCTATTTCAGTAACAGGCACATCATTATGCCTTCTGTGGATTTGTTTCAGTCATTCGATACTGAGGCTTGCTATGTGTGTGCCAGGCACTGTCTGGGACATTTGTTTGTTTTTTTAAGATTTTATTTATTTGAGAGAGAGAGAGCACACAAGCAGGGGAGGGGTAGAGGGACAAGCAGATTCCCCGCTGAGCAGGGAGCCCGACTCGGGGCTCGATCCCAGAACGCTGAGATCATGACCTGAGCCACACACGTGCCCCGGTTTGGGACATTTGTGGACCATTTTTATGGCCTGTAGTGTCTTTCATCCTAAAAAAAAAGCCCTGTGAAGCAGCCCTTCTCTACATTTGATAGAGAAAATCAAAATTCATAGTGGTTCAGTGACTTGCGTGAGGTTGCAGTTAGTTGACAGAACCAGAATTTTATTTGAGCCTTTAACTCTTTTAAGTTTGGCTTTCTGTGGTTTCAATGAAATTTTTAAACAAATGCTAGTGCCCAGGCCTCAGCAGCAGTGATGGAAGGGTGAAGGGATCTTTCCGATTTCCAAGTTCACTTTTCAGCTTGCTATCCATGTACCAAGAACCAAGTATCAGCATCACCAAGGCTCTGTTTGTTTTTATTGAGATATTATTGATAATAGTTTCAAGTGACAATTCAGTATGTATACATATTGCAGAATGGTCCATCCATTTTTCTTGTGATGAGAGCTTTTAAGATCTACGCTCTTGGCAGCTTTCTGATACACAATACAGTATTAACTATAGTCACCAGGCTGTATATTACATCCCCAGGACTTATTTTGGTTTGTTTGTTTTTTTTAAGTGGTGATTTGGCCTGGTCAGGAGTTTGGGTGCATTCCTTTCCCCTGTGAACTTGAGCCAGCTGGGAGAGGGCTTGCTTGACTGATCCACTCAACCTGGGCAGAGAAGGGGGAAGAAAGCAGAGATGTCGGGGTCTGCTCCCATGAAGCTTGGAGGTGAGGGCCATGGCCACCACACCTGAGGTAGGTGGTCCGTAAGAGTTTGAGCATTTGGGATGGACACCAGCATAAGGCAGGGACTCGACGGTAACATGGCCCAATAGATGTCTATCTTTCCGGTTTTACCAGTGTGGTAAATTCCTCCCGGGGCCGGGGGGGAGTGTAAGGGAGAAGTCTGTATGAGAAGTGGTCCCCCCAATACACCTGTCCCCTGAGGGCTAAGAAGGGGATGTGGGGCTAGGAGGAGAGGCTGCTCCCCTTTAGAGACTTCTGGTCCATCATAGCTTGACAGATTAGGGGGTATGGCTCAGGGATAAAGCATTTGACTGCAGAACTTGACAGATTATTCCAGGCTTGGATGGGTACAAACTTCCCTGGATGTGACATCCAGCTAGACTCACTTCAGCTGCTGAACAGGTGGGCAAACAAGCAGACTTGTGCTGTTGTTCTAACACCCAGTCTTATAGCTGGCCCAAGCAAGGGTTAGGGACGAACCTAACCTGGATGGGATTCCATCCATGTTGCCAGCTGGCCCCATGGGCCACTGTGCTGTGATTTCCCAGAGGTCCTTGGGGGAAATGGGGCGCCATGCAGTCCTGCAGCCCTCTCAGAAGTGAAGGAGTCTCTAAAGGATATTTCAACTCACTTTTGGTGGCTGCAGAACCATCAGGGCATTGGAAGCTGAGGATAAAGATCTCCCTCATTTGCTGTCAGCATGTAGACAGGGGTCCTTGAGGCTACCAGGCACCTGGAGGTGGGAACCTTCCTGGTGGTGCCCAGCTCTAGAGGGCCCCAGTGACAACGACTGACCTGGGAGAGTGGGTCAGGGTAATAGACCTCCCAGATTGAGTGCAGAGAAAGGATGAATTCATTAGCAACTTGAGCAGACTCCCTTGCAGAGTCAGAGGAAGATGCTGTGTAGTAAGCATAGGCTCTGGAATCGGGCAGATCTGGATGTAAGTTCTGGCTCTGCCTCTGTGAGATTTGATTAGCTTCTCTGCTCATTTCCTCATCTCTGAAATGGTCATAGGCATAGGCTCTAGGCTATTGGATGTGTTCGTCAAGATTATGCCTGCAAAGCTCTTAATGTGGAGCCGGAACCAGCGCTTAGTAGAACCGTTATTGGTTGCACAGAAGCCTGGGGCACACAACTCCAATGGGGAGGTAGATAAGACAAAAGGAAGGGGAGAAAGGGGAGAACTGGGAGGACCCCGAGAGTGGGCCCCTGGCTGGCTTCATGAAATGGGGCCTAGAAAGGAACAGCTTAGCATCGTGCAGGCAAAGAAGCTCTCACACACTGCAGACCACAGGGCGTACCCCGAGGCCCGGGAGGCTTGAGAGAGGAGCAAACAGGTGGCGGCGACGGCTACCGTGTGTGTGTGTGTGTGTGTGTGTGTGTGTGTGTGTGTGTGTGTGTGTGTGTGTGTGTGTGTGTGTGTGTGTGCGTGTGTGTGTGTGCGCGCGCGTGTGTGTGTGTGTGCGCGCGCGCGCGTGTGTGTGTGCGCGTGTGTGCGCGCGCGCGCGTGCGTGCAGGACAGTGTGTAGATTAAGAGGAGGGCGGGTACCACATGGTAGTGGCTGGGCCTGGGGACCCCGGGATTGGTGTAGGCTCCGCAGAGGCTACGGTTGCTGGTGGGGGCCCAGGGCATTTTATCTGTCCACAGATATCTACTAAGCCTGTACTCTGGGCCAAGTCCTGTGCCAATTTAACAGGGTGAGTACTATGCGCATGGAACGCTGCCCCACCTTGCTGGGGGAAAGAGCTTTTTATGTTTCCTTCCCCAGATCACTGACCCATCAGGTCCCAGCTGAGGGAGGCGCTGACACAGGGACATTGGAAACTGCTTTTATTACCCTGAGTATAACAAATAGAACACAGTCACAGTATTAAAAAACAGAGCAGGAAGTAGGTGCAGGCAATGACACAAAGTATGCACTGGGGACACGCTCCTTTCAGGGTCTGCAGCTAGTTACTTGGAAAAAGCCAGTTAGGATTGTAAAAATTTTCTCTTTAATAACAATAATTTCACTAAAATTATACAAAGTACATTCAATACTTAAGGGGAGGGAGGAAGCCAGTTTGGCCTGGAAGCATCATCTGTTGACTCCAACAAAGGAAGCCCAGCTGGGCTGGGAGGGTGGAGGTCTGGTTGTAAAAAATAAAAACGTGGATGGGTTAAAAACAAGGCCCCCCCCCCCACCAGGAAGCAGGGTGAGCGTGCACGTTCCTGGGAGGGCGGGAGGCCCAGCCGGCATGCTGCTGCTGGGCCTGGGCTGGTGCTCAGGCGGGCTCCGAGTGGGTGGGGGGCAGGTTTTTATGCTTGAAATACTGCACGACTTGTTGGGGCAGTTCCGCCAGCACAGCTTTGGCCAAGGTCTCTTTCGCTGCCTGCGGGGCCGAGGGGGAGATAGGGTCAGTGGAAGACCGTGGTGAGGGGCGGGCTCTATGCCCAGACTGCTGTAAGAGAAGGTGTCTCTGGAGGACACAATCAGGGCTAAGGGCCAGGGCTGTCTAGAGCTCACGTCCCTTGTCCCAGCCAAGGTCTGAAACCCCACTGCTAGCAGTGCTTTGCCTTTACATGAAGTCTCTTTTCCTTGAGCACTTGAGATGCCCGGGGATCGCGTTTTAAGATGAATATGCCTGTGGGAGGCTTTTCAGGGAAAGAGACAGTGGAGGTGAGCTGCACAGCCTACTCACCTGACATTTCCTGAGCACCTTCTTGGCCCATATAAATGGGCCAGGACTGTCTGGCTCACTGCTGAATGCTCAGCCACAGGCCAGCCATGGGGAGGTGCTCAGTCAGTGTCCTGTGCATGAATGGGGGCCCGAGGCCCAGCATATGTCCTCAGGAAGCTAAGGCTCCAGAGGAAGGAGTCGGACCACCTCAGGCAAACCCAGAGGGCACTGGCTAGAGGTGTGAGCACCACTGGGTATAAAAGTGGTAAGTTCTTGCTAGGACTGGCTTGTAGGATCTGTACCACAAAACACCAAGAGTCCCTATGGCTGAGGGCACCAAGGTCTGGAGAGGTCAGGGACTTGCCCAAGGCCACAGAGTAAGCATCTAGTTAAATAAGAGTTGGGCCCCCAGGTGATGGGACATGGGTGGCATCTGAGACTGCTCCCCCTGGGATCCTGGTGGGTCCAGCTGCTAGTGCAGTGACCTTGTGGGCAGACCTGGGGTCACCTGCAGATAGGCCCAGAGCCACCTCCAGGAACAAGGTGGGGCCACCAGTCCCCCTGCGGGGCAGGCCATCCTAAGATGCGTCTCGTTTTCTATCTGTGAAGGAGGCTGGTTGAGGTGCGACTACCCACAAAAACCTCTCTCACCCCTGGGCCTTTGCTCTCAGCCCCCCGTCTACCTGGAATGCTTTGCCCCACCTGGATAACTCCAACTTCTGGTTCAGGACCTTGGTCGGAGGGCCGGGCCTCCCTGAAACCCTGCTCTGGAGCCCCAGTGTGGGTTGGGCACCACTCCCTGGGTTCCATGAGCTTGCTGAAGCCGGTGCTCACATGGTCGTAGGGGCTCATGTGGGGGTGGGCCCTCGGGCGCAGCACACAATGGAGCAGAGGGCAGAGGAGCCCAAGACCTTCATCCTTATTAACGCTGGTTGCTGGGGTCCCCTAAGCACCCCCTCCCCAGCCTGGGCCCACACTCACATTGCGGAACTCTCGGAAGGGCACGAACTGCACGATATCACGGGCTGCCTCCTCCCCGGTGTGCGAGCGCAGTGTGCGGCTGTCCCCGTCCAGGAACTCCATGGCGGCGAAGTCAGCGTTGCCCACGCCCACGATGATGATGGACATGGGCAGCTTGGAAGCCTGCACCACGGCGTGGCGCGTCTCCTCCATGTCACTGATGACGCCGTCCGTGATGATGAGGAGGATGAAGTATTGCTGCAGGGAAGAGGCAGCCAGGTGCTCTGAGGCCTCTGTCCCCCCTTCCTCGGCCTCCCCCAAACCCTCTGACCCCTGGGAGGAAGGCAGCTCTCCATGCCCAGCTGCCGCCAAATCCCAGCCCCGGCCCGCAGCACCCCACCCCTGCAGGCCTCTCGCCATCCAACCCTGACCTGGTCCCAGCCCGAGGCACAAACTGCTCTCTTCCCCCTGCCCTGGCTGTGACCTTAGACGCCACAGCTCTGTGTCAGGGCCCCAAACTCCAGGCCTGGCCCTCCGGTTGCTCTGCTGTGGGACGCGGGGCAATTGGCTGACGCCATGCCTCAGCTTCATCATCTGCACGGTGGCAGCTGCTGTACCACAGTGGCACTCTGTGCCCGAGAACTGCATCCCTGGCGGGCAGGCCCATGGCCGGGGAGGGAGGCGCGTCCTGGCCGACCTGGACCAGCCTCGCCTTCTTCGCTCCACACCGATCCCTGCAAGCTGCTCCTTCCCCGGCTGCAGGGCTGGCCTCTGAGACAGGCAAGCTGCCTGGCACACAGGCCAGTGCTTCTGGGCTCACACAGCCTCAAGGCAGTGTTACTTCTGCAGTGGTCTTTCACTTCCGCAGACTGTACCCAGGAGGGAGTCTCGGGTCGGTTCTAGTGGGCCTTTAACGCCTCTCATTTGCTCACCTTCCTTATTAACAGAGGCGGGAAGCGCAGAGCTTCAGGGGATGAGAGTTTCTAGCTAGACTTCAATACCAGGTACAATGTTTTTTACCGTTACTCTCTATATATGGCAAGTGGTAACTTTTCACTTAACAGTGGGCTATACAGTTTCCTTATAAAATTACTTAAAACACTGAATAATTAGCATGGGCATGCATGGCCATAGCACGGACTGTGAACGGGACACGGTGGGCACATGAGGTTCAGGAAGGCTCCCTAGATGGCCTGGGCAGAGGCCCCAGAATACCAAGCCAGCTGACACCTTAGTGTCAGCTCTGTTCTTAGCACCCTCTGGCCCCTTTTTAAGGAACCTGGTTTGCCCCATCCGTAAAATAAACAGAAAAGCCCTAACTGGCCCTAATATTCTTTGAGGCTTTTGCCTTCTAGTCTGATCCTTTTGGTTCTCAGGAGAGGAAAAAGGGGGCCAGACTAGTCCAGGTCATAGAGGGCAGAACTGAGCCAGACCCTAGGTCAGCACCTGGCCACCTTCTCACCCAGCAAACCATTTGCTCACTGGGAACCATACAGAGGCTACAAGTTCAGGCCCCTAGGATGCCCTACTCTCCTGCTTGTCCCCCACGCACAGCCCTAGAAGGAGCGGGTGAGCCGCTCGGAGGTGTAGACCCACCATCCTAACCCACCTCCTGCACTGTGCCTTTAAGAGACCGAGCCCTGGATGCTGGGGATACCTGTTGCCATGGAGATGGCAGCCTGGATCCCTGTAGTGGAGGGCAGCAGCTGCCAGCCCCCCATGCCTGTGGTTGGAGGGCCTTATAAGCCCATCTACACCCTTGTCCCCCCACAGCCCACCGTTGTTCCAGCACCCCTTCTGTAAATGGCCCTCTAACCCCACTCCCCTCCCGCCAGAAAGTCCAGGGCAAGATTTCCAGGGCACCTAAGCTGGCAGGAGGGAAGGCACGGAAGGTCCTGGTGAGGAGGAGGGAGGATGCCTGGCCTCAATCAACAGGTTCACCACTCAGGGTGGGACTGGCCTCCCACCCTCCCCACCCCCCATGCGGCCCTCAGCTTTCTCCTTTCACTCAGCCGCACATCTATGCCAGAAGATTGGAGCCTCAGGCCTGGGCCTCCCCCAGGACTTGGATCCTCCTTCCCAGGGAGGCGGGCGCAACCTGGGGCTGGGTTCCTGCAGGACCCTGGGCACCACCTGACAGGGCGAGAAAGTCCCTGCTAATGCACCACAGTGCACAGACCCTTCCTGCCATCCTCACACTGGGATTCTGTTTTAGAGATGAGGAAAGGGGCTGAGAAGGGGGTCCAGTGACTGCTGGGAACCGGCACATTCTAGATCCATACACAAGCCTGGCCGACTCCAGAGCTGGGGCTCTTTCCACAGCGTCCCCCCTCTGCCACCCCCCTCCTGTTTTGGTGGTGCGGCCTCACCAGTAATGGGCCCCAGCAGGAGGAGCTTTCCGCACCCTCTCGCCCCCCTGTCAGACGGTCTCAATGTCTAGGACAGCAGCCCAGGGAAGAGCCAGCCCCATGGCCCTGGCCACGAACCCTCACTCCTTTGCGTGCCAGCCAGCCGTAATACCCACAGCCGTGGGCCTAGCTCAGCTTTGGGCCAGCTGGGCCAGCCTTGGCAAGGGACCTGCAGCTAACACACCCTGTGCTGCTCACCCACCCCAGGCGGAGCCTCTACCTTCCACTACAACCCCAAGGCTCTACAGCCCCACCCCCAAGACAGAAATGGGAGGGGGCCGTAGACGAGAATGAAAGGCAAAACTGGGCAGGAGGAGGTGGGAAAGGGCGCTGCTGTCCCCACAGACAACCCTGGTCTGGTCTCCCCTGCCCCCAAACTTTCCCACCTCCACACCCTTCCTGGTACCCTTCTTCCTGCCTGGCATACCCTTCCAGCCACAGTTCCAAGACCCATCAGAGCATCTATGCCTCCATCCCAAGCAGGTGGAAGGCCATCCCCAGCCCGGAGCTCCACTTGCCCTGCTGGCATTACCCCTTGGCGGGGGGGTGGGGGTGGGGGAGGTCTCCTCTGGAGATTCCTCTCCCCGCCACATACCCCAAGTGCTCCTCCAGGCAGCCCCTTGTAACCCTCTTCTGCATCGCCCAGCTCCGGTCCCCCGTCCCTGCCCCAGAACCACAGCCAGTCACCATCAGGTCCAACCAAAAATCAAAGCACCCAACACCATTCAAAGACGGAGTAGCTTTTGCCTTTACCCAGAGGTTCTTCAGCCTTCTGGGGCTGTAAATAGCCACTTCCCCTAAAGCGTTTAACATATCAGATTTATAAGAAACCAACCACAATTCCAGTCAGAGTCTGGGGAAACTGCTCCCTGGCTTATTTCTGAAGTTGGCTGCCAAAGACCCTTGTTGGGGGGGGGGGATTCCAGGGTCCTGTGCCCCAGCTCCCCCTCCATTAGGACACCAGATACCTAGGTAACCAAGTAGGAATGGGCCGTGGGCAGCAAGACCCAGGGCTTATGGGCAGAGAGAAGGATGGGGGCCCCATAATTGGGATCATCTAGCCCTTTCTGACCCTTTTAATACCCTCAGTGGCTCCCCATGGCCCTCAAGAGAAAATCCAGGGTCCTCATTGCCTTCCAAGGCCCTGTGGTAGCTGGCATTTCCCTACCCCAACTCACCCCTCTCACATCAAGACTTCTTTCTTCAGTTAGGTCCAAACACCCTGCCTCCTGGGCTTTGCATATCCTGTTCCCTCCACCTGGGGCACTCCACGCCCACGTGCGCGCATGATTTTCACGTGGCTAACTCTTAAGCATCCTCCACGTCTCAGCCTGGACGTCACTTTTCCAAGAAGCCTTCCCTCAGCCCTCTGGGTTAGGTGCCACCTTTAGGAGGCTGGGCCTCTGTCAGCACAGGTTTAATCACTGCATCACAGCTGCTGTTTCCCCAGCCAGGTTCCCCACTAGACTGCAGGCCCTGGGAGGACAGAGGCCACGCATCACGGTCTCCCTAGTGCCGCACAGAAATATGCTCCGGAAAGACGGGTGGTGTGTGTGAACGGGAGAGTGCAGGCCTGCCTAGAGCAATGCCTCCTACCATCTGCTCTCGAGTTCCTGTACGTGGGTGTGCACGCGTGTGCATATGTCTATGGCCAGGGAAGGTGAAGCCACACCGAGTATTGTCCACCACCACCACCCCCCCACCGCCAAGCGGCTGTATAAAAGTAGCGCTTAATCCACAAATTATTTCCCTTTGCCTTGGGTCTAACTGTCCTCAGGGGCATCCCCAGAAGTGCTTACTGTGTGCCAGGCACTGTGCTGAGCAATTCACGTGCCAATCTGGTTGAATCCTCAGTGTTTCTAGCAGGCAGCCACTGTTCAGCACCTCCACGGTACAGGTGAGGAAACAGGTTCACAGAGCTTCAGCAAGCTGCCCTGGGTCACACAGCCAGGCAGTGGAGAAGCTGGGGTCTGAATGGGGTCGATGGGCCTCGGGAGCTCAAGGCTGAACCATCAGGCAGCACCACCTCTGGTGCATGGTGAGCTGCATGCAGGCTAGAGCCCGGCCGGAGGTGGAGAAGTGGATCTGCTTGGACATCAGGGTGAGAGGGGCTGATAGACTCTCCGGTCCCACTCCTGCTGGGGGATGGCCCAAGTCACACAGGGATGGGGGCGCTGCATCCTGGAGGGTGAGGGTGCCCAGAGAAGGCTGCCTCCCCAGGTTGGAAGGACCGGGTCATGAACAAAGTGGCTGGGGTACTGAGACCACCAGGGTGCTGCCTAAAAGTGGCTGGGGTATTGAGAGGATCAGGACTGGGCAGAGAAAGGGCCAAGTTTCCCGCTCCAGGGAGCCCTCAGCATTTGTTCCCCAGAACACCAAGATCCCCTTCCTGGCCTGCCCCAGGGCCCCAGGACCCCAGGCCCCTTTCTGCCCGGAGTACACCTCCTGCGCCATCCCACCCTGGTTCCGCCTGGCAAGAACACCGGCCTTACTCCTGTTACCACACCGCCGTTCTTCCTTTTCAACAAGGATGCAGGCCGTTTCTGCCATCCCTTTCAAAACTGGCTCAGGCTGCTAACAGGCTGGGCAGGAAACGGCCTGGCTGACCACAGGCATCCAAGTGGTGCAAGCCCAGGGGCTGTCTCGCCAACCAATTCCAGCCCTGCGCCCCCAGGAATTAAAAACCAGCCCCTCCCAGGCCTTGCCCTGGTCGCTGTCCCATTCAGGTGGCCCCAGATCCTCCCAACACCCCGGGGGGGGGTGCTTTCCTTTGCCCTTTCATATAGGAAACGGGCTCCGAGCAGGAGGGGGCCTGTCCCGGGCCCTCAGCGGCAGGTGCACCTGGCACTACAGCAGATCCTGCTCCCGGAGGCAGAAGAGACCCAGACCGCCTTCCTTCCCCCCCAGCGCTTGCGCCATGACCGCCTTCCTGCCGGCCCTGGCCTCTGCAGTCTGCTCTGCCTGTCCTTCCTCATCCTCCAGGTCTCTCTGGGGCAGGTGCTGTGTGATCTTGCTTAATCTCAACACCTCCTCCTCAGAGTAGGTTTTACTTGTTTCCCATCGTACAGACAGCGACACGGAGGCTCAGGGAGGTTCCGTGCTTTGCCCAAGCTACAGGGAGGAAGGGGTGGGGCCCGGATTCAGACTCTGGCAGCCTGACCGGAGAGCCCCCTTCCACCTCCCAACCAACCAGGCCGGGTCCTGCTGTCCTGCCCTCCCCAGGGCGACCCTGGTGTCCTCTTCTCTTGCTTAACCTCTACGGCCTCCATCTTTGCTGCCATGCCCAGAAGCCAACCTCTGCCTCCCTAGGAATCAGGGAGGGGTCTCGCTCCTCTGGGGGCCCAGTGGAGCAAGGTCCTTTTCCCTCTGGGAGGGGCGCTGGCGGGGGTCCCCGCCCCCTGCCTCCCGAGCCTTGCACAGCACTCCCATGGCGGGGCCCACGGATTCATCCACCCCCCGGCATGGTAAGTGCCTGCCGTAGGCCGGATGGTGGCAAACACGCAACAGCCTGGCCAGTGGGGCTGGCAGTCGGGGGGGGGGGGGACACACCGCGGATGAGGAGACGTGGACAAGGTAAACTAGATGCTGCTGCCATCCTGAGAGTCCAGATGAGAATCGACAGAGAAGGCAGGAGATCAGCCTCAGAGGGGTGGTCGAGAAAGGCCATGGGTGGGGGGAGGGTGGCATCTGAGGGTGACACTGAGGAATGGGTAGAACCAGCCAGGCAGAGTCAGCAGGGCAGAGGGTCTGCAAGGGGTACAAGCTTGTGTGTTTGAGGGACAGGAAGAGGGTAGGATCAGAAGGGGAGGCAGGCGGGGGGGGGGGTAGGAGAGGAGGTCTCTGTGGAAGGGAGCGGCTAGGGAGTGGCAGGCTCGGACCGGACCCCTGCAGGAGAATGGATTGTAGAGGCCAGAGACAGAAGCTGGTGGCCTTGGTGCTGGGAAGGACAATCTGAGATACCATCTTGGGAGGTAGAGTGAAAAGGACAGTCTAGAAGGGACATCAGCCTGGGTGCAGAGACTCTTCCTTTCCAAGGGGGAAGCCCAGAGCGGGCCACAGGCTTGGGAAGGTCTCCCAGCAGGGAGCGGCCAGGCAGGAGGCAGACCTAAGTCTCCTTGGTGGCAGCCCAGGCTCCGCCACCCAGAGCTAGGAGCTGGGTTTCCCGCTTTGGCTGGAACCTGACAAGGTGGCCTGGGGACAGGGCCTGGGAAGGGCTACTTGTGGCGCCGCCCCTGGGGCTGGGGTTGACGGCTTCAGGCTACATAGTCAAGTCAGGGCAAATCCTGGTAGGTGCAGGGGTAAGTGGACAAGGTGACCCTTGGTGACCCCAACACCGGCATTAGGCCTGAAGCTAGAGGGCAGAGAGAAGACCAGGGATGCAGATGCTATCGATGGCCGTCTGCCATGTATTCCAAATGCCACACAGTTGCCCTGGCAACCTCCCGCCAGGCCTGCCTCTAGCCTCATCACTGAGCACTGGGCCAGGGCCAGACAGTGGCCCAGAGGGTCAGCTTTAAGGCTGCAGGGACCACCGTCTCTTGGTTTCCATGTGTCCCAGGAATAACGAACACCGCACCTCCCACTGATTACAGTCCGATGTCCTACTAAGCATGAACGGAATCACTGTGTCTTTTTCAAGTCTGTGCTCCGGAAAGCCAGGACCAAGCGAGTTGAGCTTGGTCCAACCCCCTTACCATACTTGCAGGTAAACCGAGGCAGAGAAAGCCAAACATCCAGTTCACCAGCCCCATGGGGGTGGGCGGATTAGGGATGGACCTCAGTCTGGCCCTCCTGTCAGGCAAGGAGGGCCCAGCCAGGGCCAGCCCTCTCCCACACACCCACGGCGGTGGCTGCCTACTCACCGTGGCCGTCTGCTGCTGTGTGGCCTGGGCCGCAAACCGCGCCACGTGGTTGACGATGGGAGAGAAGTTGGTGGGACCATAGAAACGGATATGGGGCAGGCAAGCCGAGTATGCCTGGGCGATGCCATCCACACCTGCCTCGCGGGGTGGGGGGGGAAAGACTGCATCAGCCTCGGTCCCCCTGACCCTTCACCCACCCTCATCCCATTTGCAGACCCTGCCTCTACTTCATGCTCGCCCCAAATGCCCCTACGGTGGCCAGCGTGGGTCCCGTGAGACCAGAAGCTCCCAGAGGGCAGGGCCAAGATGGTATAAAGCGAAGACCCCTGAATATGGAGTCAGGCAGACCCGAGTTCGAATCCTGCCTTTGCCACTTCCTAGCTGTGGGACCTGAGGCAAGTTGTTTAATCTTTCTGAGCCTGTTTCCCTGTCTGGCAATGGGACTGATAATCTTCGCTCAGGCAGCTGGCCAGAGGAGGGCTCAGCAGGCTCTTCCCAGGGAAGGGACTTGGCAGCCGGCCATCTTGAGGTCCATTCTGGCCATGCTACAGCTTTTGCCGAGGGTTGCTGAGGGTGTGGGGGGGGGGGCGGGACGGAGATGCTTGTATAGCCCCAGCACACAGTAGGTGCTCCGTAAATGGCCACCATTATGAGAAGACTATCCCACAGCCCCGTGGTCCTATCCAGGAGGCCTCTAGCTGGGGAGGAGGTTGACCGACCTCATTTTGGACAAAGTCTCTGGAGACCTGCTCCAAACTAGACAGAGCCCAGGCGTAGTACCGGCTACATTTCTGGCCAACAGATGCCCATGGCTTCTGAGTCATGGCATCGTTCCCAAGCTGGTGACTTGATGCATTTCCCTTCCAAGTACAAACTGGGCCCAGCTTTGGGAATCCCCAGGGAAGGCAGAGGCTCTATCCAAGCCAAATCCTAGGCTGGAAGGTCTCATGAGGGCGGGGCCCACCCTCCTCCATATCCACCTGGAGCCCCCTTCCTCCTCCAGTAGTCTCTTAACGGATTCTGGAGGCTCAGAAATCCTCTGAGGCCGAGGGGGCGGGGGTGAGCACAGGCACTACTCACTGCCTGCCCCTTTCTCCCCCCCACTCCCACACCAGCAACCCTCAGTCCTCGGTTGCCAAGGCTCTTTGTGGAAGGCAAGAGGGAGCAGCGTGGGGCAGAGCTGGGCCCTTCAGCAAGGGCGGGTGGGAGGTGAGAGACAGGTATATTATATCTGCTGCCCTTGACCACCTCCTGTCCTACACGGGGCTTCCTGTCAACGCTTCCCTTAATTCTCACCTGACCCACCCCTTCAGGTGAGCTAAGCAGGTATCACACTCCCCGTGGCAGGTGAGGAGGCAAAGGCCCAGAGAGAGGCAGTGATCTCTCCCAAGGTCACACAACCAGGAAAGGGCAGCGGCTGGCCTTGCATCCAGGACCACCTGACTCCAACCTCCAGCTCTGCCCCATCTGTCATTAGGAGCAAGCATGAGGGAGAGGGAATGGGAGCACGAGACAAAACCTATATGCTGCCCCTCCCTCCGCCCAGGGCAGGTGCAGGCGGGCTTGGCACTCACCTGAGCAGAAGGGGTTGGTGGGGTTGAAGTTGATGGCAAACTCATGGGAGACCTGAAATGTAGAGAAAATGCTGGGCTGGCAGCCTTCTGGGCCCAGGCCCCACCCATGGCCCGGCCAAAGCTCCCTCTGGGGCACCTGGCTTTTCATGCCCCATCCCCACCCCCAGGTCAAGGCTACTGATCCCCTCCCCATCTGCTTTCACCTCCACTGCTGGGGCTGAGCCACACAGAGAGGTCTGACTACTCTCACTCCATAGTGGGTGCACATCACCCCAATCTCTTCTGGGCAGGGGGTCAGTGCTGCCTGTGCCTCCTCATCCCCCTAAGAGAGTCCGGAGTGGGACAGAGGGGCCTCTGGGGGCATCCAGGTGGGCTCCAGGAGCACCTAGACTGCTCCTTTGTCACACACTATCACTGAGGTTCCACTTCTTTGGGCCCCAAGGGCTTTCCCCAACTTCACAGTTGGCACAGCTGCTAGCAAAGGAGCCCACAGTATGCCAGCGAGCCAAACCGGGGGTCAGCGGACAGCCTGCTCAGCCAGCCTGGGGGTCAGGAAGCATCATGGGGCCAGACGGGGCTGCCTCCAGCCCCAGCCCTGTGGATCATCCTGCGCACTCCCCGATTGGGGAACACAGAGGAACACTAACTAGACGCTGGGGCTGCAGTAGGACTGCGGTGGCTACAGAACCCAGGGCCTCGGGGGGCTGGAGCTCAGATGGGGGCCTCCCCGCTCTCCCTCCTGCTGCGGTCTCACAGCCAAAATCCCCACTCAGCCCCCCTCCCTACTGCGCGCCAAACCCCACTTTCAGAGCTTTGCAGGCATCCCCTCGCTCCCGGTCATGACTCAGTGGGGAAAGGCCTCTTCCTACCCCATTTCCAGATGATGAGACGGAGACACAGAATGATCTAGAATGTTCCCAGGGTCTCACATTTACTGAAGGACAACGTTGGGACCAGAACCGAGGTCAGGCTGCCTCCTGAGCCCACGTTCCCTGAACTCACTAACCTCAGAAGGTGTTCCTCTCCGTAGGAGGGCTGACTCCATCTTGTGTCTGCACAATGACCTCCTTCGGGGGCTACGTGTTCTAGGCCCCGGGAGGTTAATGTGTGCCCACGTGGGAGTGCAGGTGGGCTTGTTCTCATCTTCTCTGAAGTGGTGCACACAAGGCCCTACTTGAGCTAACCAGCAAAGATGGCAGGCACACAGGGGGCGCCACTTTAGAGCACCACCCTGTGGCCTCACCACCATGCCCCTTGCTCTCTAAAAGTTGTGGCTGGAGGTCCCGCTTGGGTGGGGGAGGGCTGGCCCCCAGTAAATTACCCTGAATTAAATTGTGTCAATGGAGTGGCTGGCTTCATTTTTTGGTCTGAAAGTGGCTTCTTAGTCTGGAGGACATTTACTGACCCTCCTCCATCTTCTCACACTCTCCCATGGGTTTTAAATTAGGAAGATGAAGAGGTTTAGGGGAATGTCTGCCAGGTGAGAGCTTTATTCTGCGCGCAAACACTCCCAGACATTACAATGTGTGTGCTGGAAGGCCCCACCAACTCCAACGTGCCCATTTCACAAGCAAACAAACTGAGGCCCAGAGAGGGAAAGCCAGGTGCCAAGGCCACACAGCAGAACAGGCCTAAGACCTGAGCCCCCCCGTGCCTTGAGAGGGTGTTGGGGTCCTGGCCTTGCTGAACCCTCCTGGGCCAAGAGAGGTGAACTCTCCAGCACAGGGAGTTCACCCCAGCAGGGCCCTAGGGGTGGGGGGGATGGCCTGAGAAGACCCTTCCCTGTTCGGGGCGGGGGGGGGGATAGCTTTTCTGTTCTTTGCTCCCTCAGCCCTAAGGGCTGGCATGGAGCCGGTCCCCTGATGTCCTTCTTGGGTGCTCTCCCTGCCCTGGGGCCCTCTTCACCCTGTTCCCAGTCTGGGCTCCAGGGGGGTGAGGAGGCACAGGCAGCGCTGACCCCCCCCCCAGAAGAGATTGGGGTGATGTGCACCCACTGTGGGGGCTGGAGGTCCTCACTGCCATGACAACTTGATGAGCCTCTATAGAGACTAAGAGGGGGGCTTGTACCGAGGGGCTGAGAGAGGAAAATGGTTGCCAAGGAAACCGGCCTCCCTGGGCCAATGACTTCCTGCAAAATCAGGTTTTCAGAGATTTTAGAGACCACGGGGGAAAGCCCCCTCCTGGTAAGGATGGAGCAATATTCTGCTTTCTGGGCCACCCAACCTCTTCATTCCTCACTCCTTCCCCCACCCCCCGCCTTCTCTGCGGGAAGGCCTGGTGGTCCAAGCGTATGGGGCTGTGAAGGTCACGCATCCAGCCCAGAGGCCCCTCGGGTCATATGCTCCAGCAGCTCCACTGCACAGGTGGAAAGACAGGCTCAGAAGAGGCCAGGGAATGCCCGGGTGACACCAGTGAGCCACAGCAGAGCCAGGCCCAGATCTGGGAGACACGGGCGTGTGCCTTACAGCAGCCCAGCCCGCTCCCACGCCTGCTGCCCTGGTTTGCCTGAGAAATGCCAGTAAACAGGACAAGCTTCCTAGGGGCCATAAGCCAGATTAGGGGGCCGCTGGGGACCTGCTGGCCACAGGTCTTTGTCCTGGGACTCCCTGCTGCCTTCTGACAGTCAGTGCTTCCGGTCACCTAGCCGGGCCCCTGGCCTCTGGGTTACTTAAGACGCTGCTCCCTGTGGCCCTGGTGGGGGAGGGCAGGAGGGAGGAAGCTGAAGGGACCCCAGAGGGACTGTCCTCTCCGAGTCTCAGTTACCCCAACCTTACGGTGGGGAGAGTCACAGCCTGTGCTGTGGGCCCAGACCTTTCCTCCCATCCGACCCCTCTCTTCATCAGACCGACTCGGGCTCATTCTGAACGTCCAAGGCTTCATGCCATCTCCTCAAGGAAATGCTTTCTGAGTCCCTCAGCCACTGACCAGGGCAGGGGTCCTTTTTGGGTGCACCTGGCCCAGCCCCAGGGAGGAACGACGGTCCCGAGGGCAAGCAGCTGAGTCGCATGTTCCTTCCGGGTTCCCACCCTCAGAGAACCAACACCTCTGTCTCCTCAGGCTGCTAGGCCCCAAATTCACTCTGTCAACAAACAAGTACACACCCAGTGTGTGCCAGGAGCCAGGACACACACAGGAGGAAACCAGGGGCCCTCCCGGACTGCTGAGCTCTGGAGGGAGGCGACAAATGAGCAAACCCACATATACAGAGGGGACCGTAAAGTTCTGTGAGGACAGAGCCCAGGACGGGAAGAGGGGCCCCCCATGAGCTCCCTCGGGGAAGGCCTCCCAGAGGGAATGCCCTTGTGGCCTCTAGAGTGGGGGGAAAAAAGTGAAAAGGAGTAACAGGCCAGGGGAAGGCCATGTGCAAAGGCCCTGAGGCGGGACTGAATGAGAGAAGGTTCAAGTGGCAGGAGCCAGGCAAGTTAGAAGGGGAGGGAGATGAGGGGCCATGAGGGGCCGGGCGTGGCAGGGGAGGTGGGATGCACCATCCGCCCTCGCCTGGCCTGGCAGCCCTCCTGGCACCACCGGGCACTCCAGCCTGGCCAAGCCCTGTGTTGCCCTGTGACATTTCCAAGGAGGCTTTGAGCAAGAAAACATCTCATTCAGCCAGAGTTCTTTCAAAGCTGGCGGTGTCCTAGCAACGGGTTCCTGCTGGGCCTGGCCGCACCAGCCTGCCCCGCCCCCATTGGCATCGCCGTCTGCCCAGAGGCCCAGCTCTGGTCCTGCAGGGTCCCGCCCCCCCCCCCCCCCCCCCCGCCCCACCATCCGACAGCCGGCAGGCCACAGAGCCACTCCCTGAAATTCGAGGTGAAGATCGTCCCTCCCCAGCTCACTCTGGAGAACAGCATGGGGCACAGCAGGGCAGACGAGAGGGGGCACTAGCTGAGACGCACATGCAGGCTTAGGAGCCCTCTGTGCCCATCCCCAGGCTTCTCACTGGAGGCGGAGCAGATTCTGAGAATAAACTTAAGGGTCCGCTTGCCCAGCTGGAATTAAACATGGCCTTGGGCAAGTCCTGTGAGCCTCTGTTTTTCCGCCCGTAGAATGGACATCACTCCTTCTCTTCATCCCTCCGTCCTGCCCACCCTCACCCCAGCCAGTCCCCACACAGCAGTCAGAGCGGCCCTTCAAAATGGCAGCTGGCTGAGAACACCCCACCCGGACCCCGCCGTGGCCGCCCTTTGCTGTTTAACATGCATTTGAGGCCCCTGCATGGCTGGCCTCCCAGCCCGCTAGTCGTGGCTCTCTCTATCTTCCCTAGGGAGGCCAGCACGCCCTCTCTCAGTTCCTACACCTGGCCCTGGCCCTGGCCCTCTTCCTCGCAGGCTTTGCCCGGGTTCTCTCTGCTTTGAACACCCTCCCTGCCCCATCACCACCTCTAGTCATTCTGCAAACTTCTCCTTTCCCTTCCCTTCTTGACTTAGACCATGCCTCCTCCAGGAAGCCTTCTCTGCTACCCCCAGGCCGGGTTGGGGCCCTCCTCTGGGCTCCTCCCAGGCCCACGCTGCCCCATCTCTGCACTGATGACCCTGCCTGTCTTTGGGGTTGCCGGACAGAATATAGGATGCCCCGTTACATGTGAATTCCAGATAAACAATGGGTAACTTTTTAATGTAAGTATATCCCAGGCAGTCCTTAGGATATACTTATACTTAAGAAATTCGTTCGTCTGAAATTCAAACTTCACTGGGTGTCCTGGACTTTTGTTGGCCAAATCTGGCACCCTACTTGTCTTCCGCACCTGACTTGAATACCAGGGGACAGAGCCATAACTGTCCCGCTCGTTCTTACGGCCCCAGGGCAGGCGTGAGGTTCAGGCTGAGCCATGAGTGTGGGTTTGGGGTAAATGCAGAGAAGGCAGGGAGGCTGGGCCCCCAGCCTCTTCCAAAGCAGATTCAAGAGAGGCCATACACAGAAATCTCATCTCGACCAAAAGGAAAGAGCCCAGCTCCACTCACCTTCCAGTCTGGGGGTAACTGGGCCCCAAAGCCCAGAGCCGGAAACATCTTATCACTAATACAGAGAGAGGAGAAGAAAACCACTATGAGACAGCAGGGCAGAGGCCTCACCCGCCCACACTCACCCCTCCCAGCCCCCACTCAGGGCTGGGCCCACTCGGCCTCGCACACCTCCAAGGACAGCAGGAAAAAGCTCACCACCTCTGGAAAGAGCTCTCTTTGAATGATCTACTGAGCTCACACCCACCTCTGCGTACCTGGTGAATGTGAGGCTTGACCCCATCTGCACCTGTGGCATACATGGCTAATCAATCACAGCACTTTTAACCAGTGGGCCTGGGTGCAGCAGCATCTAGATCCTTCTCACACTGGGACCTCGGGCATCCACTAAACCACAGTCTTTATGGAAATATACCGCCTGTCTCTCAACCTCCCTTTTGTGGCTGGGAAAAATTTTGAGAACCCTGGCTTAGCTTGAAGACACTTCATCATCCAGCCCTAGAGCCTACTCTCGTCTGCTTCCACACCCTGCCCTCCCTCACAACCCACTGCCCCAGCCCTGGCAACAGACCACTAGCTGTGGCCCAAACACACAGGGCACCCTCACGCTCCAATTTCAATCATGTTGTGCCCTCTCTTAAACTACCTGTCCCCAGTCTGTTCCCTGTGGTAAACTGCTACCCGTCCCCTATGGCCCAATTCAAACGGCCCCTTCTCTCTGTAGGTCTGTCTGAGACCCGAGAATCCCTCTCTCTCTGGTGGTCCTGTAGCTCCTGCTGTACAGGTGAGCTGGTCTCTCAGAACTCCAGGGACTTCTCCCGTCTTCCTCCTCGAGTGGGAGCTCCTGAGGGCGGGGATCGCGTCTCACCTGTTTGTTCCCTCAAGGTGTACCCTGAGGAACCCCCTGGCTGTTGTGCGGAGGACAAACTGCCAGGGGCTAGGACAGACGCATGGAGACCAGTGAGGAGCTCCAGAAGTGATCTGGAGAGGAGGGGAAGGTGGTCTGAACAGGCTGGTAGCAGCGGCGGTGGGAGAAGGGGTGCGACTCCAGTGTTTTGAGAGCGGGGGAGATGAGGGAAGGAGAAAGGGAAGGGTTTGGGGTGAGTGGTGGTGCCTCTCACTGAGATGGGGACGAGCACTCACTGGGGCCTTCCTTGCTAGGTCTGAATGCCCGTGAGAAGGCTCAGTGAGGGACCGAGTGGGCAGCTGGATACAAGGGACTCCTGGAGCGGCCACAGGAGGCTCCTCCACCCAACCATGCAGATGGGGGCTTTCACCTCCCTTCCCCCGTGTGCTGTACCTCTCTTAATGTGACCAGGGATCCCAGCCACACCCCTCAGGCCCTGGGAGTCAGACCCTGCTCGTCAGGCTGCCTCTCTTAAGGAGGCCAAGTGCGCAGGATTCGTGAGCCTGCTGTTCCTGCCAAATCTCTGGCCCCTGTACCTTCCTTCCTGGTCTCCCGATCCTTTCACCCGCTGGCCTAGGAGTCCCAGTAAGCTCCACCCGTGGCAATGATGCCAAAACCTTCAAGTGACTTTGGATCCTCCCGGGCCATACCCCCTACACAGCCTTCCGCCACTGACCTTCCGCTGCGCCCCCGACCCCCAACCCAAAGACCTCCAGGAAGCAGGGTCATGGGAAGCGGGCCCACACCTGCCGGCTGCTCCCTCCACGTTCCCAGCGGGAGTGAGGCTATTGGGACACTGGGTGTCGGGCCCAGGCATCAGAATGCCTGCAGACTAGTCCCCCTGATCTGTTTGACTTTGGATCACTTCTCTACCTGCATCCCCGGCCTACACTTCCCCAGCTCTAAAAGGGAAAGTTGCAATGATAGCAAACAAGTTTCATTTTCCGTCTTGATTCGTTTTTCTTACTGGCTACTTGGTGTATCATGTGGAGGAGAATTCCAGCGTGGACCCAGCTCAGTAGGGAAGAGGTCAGCAATCGACTAGCAATGTCTGCCACAGGTGTAGGAGGGGGCAATAAGGCACATGTACCATGTGTCGGCCATTCCCAGGTTTGAGGATCTTTGGGTCCCTTCCAGCTCCGACAAGCTGAGCTTCCCGGTTGGATGGAGCCGGAGCTGGTTCCAGAGTCCCCCCTCAGGCTTACCTGTCGTAGTCCTGAATGATCTGCCCGACAGCCCAGATGGCCGACAGATACTCGTTGGTGCCCATGGGGTTGATATAGTGCAAAGAGGAAGGGTCAAGGGGATTCCCGTTGGAGGCTGTGAAGTCTATGCCAACCTGTAGAGTGGGGAGAGAAAGGCCACCCAGGGTGGCCAGAGAGGCTCCAGCTCCCCAGCTCATCCCAGGGAACAAATGGGACATGGGAAGTCACTCATCTCCCAGTGCCAACCCACCCTTCCATAAGATGGTCTGAAACCAAGAAACTGACCGTGTCACTCCTTTGGCTCCAACGCCATCAGTGGGTCCCTACTGCCCCAGCATGAAGTCTACTGACAAAGTCAACGCACACTCCCAAATTCCTTTGTCCCCCTCACTGTCATGACCCACACACTCCTCTGTTTCCATTTCCAGGCCTTTATTCATGAGGTTCCCTCTACCTCAAGAGCCAGGCCATCTCTTCTCCCTCTCTCATTCTCCTCTAACATTCAGGCCCAATTCAGAGGTCCCTGCCCCACTGAAGCCTTCCCAGACACCTCAACCTCACCCCAAGCCACACTGTCCCTCAGGCCCCCAAGGGGCTCTGGGACCTGGGGCTGCCTGGTAGGCCAGTGCCCATCTGCCCAGAGTGTGTGCTCACTGTAGGCAAGACACGTGCCCCCAGAGCCAGGTCCAGGGCGAGGCAGAGAGCACCAGAGAAGGTGCTCCACAGGGCCTGAAGCTGAGATCTGCTCTCTCAGACCCCAGAAAACTCCAGCCCAGCCCCTGGAGGGGTAGCACCGGCGGGTAGGGGGGCAAGCCTGCCCAGCAGGGGAGGGTTAGGAGACGGATCTAGGGAGACAGATGGCCACCTTGGAACTTGGTCATGTGGGGTGGGTCTGGCACAGAGGAGGTGCTCGGTATCCGTTTGTTAAATGAACATGCACACACATGCAGAAGGAACGGGAGAGCCCAGCCTCTCGGAGTGAGGGGGGAGTGGTGACCAGTGGGGTTAGAGGTCAACAAGGCCAATCCCCTGACTCCGTAGAGTCGCGCAGGTGACCTCCAGTCCCATGGGATCTAAAAGTGGTGGCAAGGCGGGGAGGTGGGCAGAGCACGGGACCCAGCACCTCCTTCCCCTGGGCCGGAGGTCCCCTTCAAGTGAGGAGCATCAGACCAGATGAGCGGCTCGAGTCTGGGGGGCATACACTCCAGGCCATGGACAGAGGGACAATTCGTTTACCCAACACTTACTATGTGCCAGGCACTGAGTGATTTGCTGAGGTTGGCACACAAACAAAACAAAGTCCCCGCACTTGGGGCACTCACAGTCCTCGGGGTGGGACAAACAGGGACAATAGAAAGATACTTAAATAACTTCAGAGTGGTCAAGTGTTCTGAAGACCACAAAGTAGGGGAAGTGACAAGGACGGACAGGAGGGTGTCAGGGGAGGTGTCCCTGAGGAGGTGACCTCTATGCCATGGCCCGAAGGGATGGCAGGGCAGCAGCTGTGAGAAGGTTCTGGAAGGAGCGTTCCAGATAAAGGAAACAGCAGATGCAAAGCGCTCAGACAGAAAGGCGCTTGGCATCTTGGGGCAACAGTGAGGACCCGTGTGGATGGAACTGAGTGAGCAAACAGGAGGGGTAGCAGAGGACACAGGAAGGCCTTCTGACGGGCAGGGAGGAATTTTGGCTTTTTTTTCTCTCTGCAGGGGTGTAGCCAGCAACACTCTGAGGGCTGGGCAGCCAGGCCCCGACCTACAGCTAAGCCCTGACTCAGGCTCAGCCACCTATGCCCTCTCCTCTGGGCCAGACACTCCCCTTGCCCTCGGGAAGTCCTTCCTGAAGTTTATCCCCCAGTCCGTCCGGAGGGAGGGAGCCTTACAGTGAACATGAGCTGGCAGCCTCCCAGGATGTAGTCCAGGAAGGAGTAGTCCCGGTTTATCTGGAAGGAATCAGAATCAGGGGAGTCAGTGGGTCCCTGGCCTGCACCTGAGGGCCGGCCCTCCACCTGGCCATAGTTCCCAGGGGGAGCTGGGGGGCTGACTGCTCTGTGCCCCGAAGCCCGAGTAGAGTCAAGGAGGCCAAGGGAAGACCCGGGCTGATTACAACCAAACCCGAATCTCTCTATAACAAAGCGCTCAGAGCAACAGTTCCAGTGGGACACGCATACACGCGCGCGCGCACGCGTGCTCCTTCCAGGCAGGGTCCCTGGGCCTAGTGTCCGTTGTACCTACCAATTACACAGCAGAGAAAGTCTCAATTTGTTGCTGTTCAGTCCTTAAGCCCTCTTTGGCCCTGACGGACCTCCGCCCTGAGCAGAGAAAGACCAGGCCTCCGGCCCAAGGCCTTCTGCTATAATCAAGCTGCTAACACCCCGTGTTTGTTTTGATGGCCTTTTGCTCCTCTGGCGAAGGTAGTTACTGGCCTTCCTATTTGGGTGGAGTTATAAGGGGGTTCCTTTCAAAATAAATGTATTGAAGAAAAAAAAAAAAAGAAAAAAACCAAGAATGGGGGGTAAAGAAGGGCTGATCACAAAAAGTAGTAAGCAAGGCGGGTGGCAAAAATCATGGAGGGGAGTACGAGTGACAGAAGTTTCAGGAACAAGGACCCCATGCCACCAGCTGCCAGCTTAGCTTTCCCAGGGCGCTTTGGTGTCGTGACCTCACAGAGCAAGGAGTCGTGGAAGCCCCCGCCAGACTGCGCAGTCTCCAGACCAGGCCACAGAGGCCCGGGGGCCGGGGCGCTGCCAGGCTGCACAGGGAGGATGCCGGGACTTACCCGGACCTTCAGGCCCAGTGTCCAGGCCGTTCGCTGCCTGGGCCTAGGCTGCCTTCCTGAGCACCCTGCCCGATTCCAGCAGATGCCGGCTCCTGGGCATCCAGGGGCGGCCCTGACCACCGCTGCTGTGAACTTCATTCCCTTTCCGAGCCTCAGAGGCCCCAGCGGCCCCAGCTGCACCACGGGAGTCACAGTGACCTGAGCCCTCGATGATGTTGCTGGGCCCCCGCCAGATGTCCCTCTGCCCGTAGGGTGCCAGACACGCAACGGGCAAGCCGCCAGCACGGGAAGCAGGTACCTTCCAACCAGGAGAGGCCCTGGAAGGTCATCTCATGCCCTCCTGGACCTCCTTATATCCCAGGAATATGATATGAGACGAACCCTTCACCTTTGTTTTTTACCTTGTTAACATCCCCATTCTACAGACGAGGGGACTGAGGCCCAGAGAGGTTAAGCTCAGCAGATCCCAGAGTCAGGATGCGGCAGAACCAGGATTTGAATCCAGGCCCTGCTGGCTCCAAACCCAGTGCTCTGTCTATCCCTTCTGCAGTGATGGGATATGATCCCTCCAACTGGGCCCCTGCTCTGGGCCCACCCCCGCTGGCTCACCTCGCAGGAACGCAGGATAATGATGCCCGAGTTTTTATAGTTCTTCTTCTTCCTTTGCTTCTTGGGGTTGATGCACTCAAACTCCAGCTGGACAACGTAAGAGAAAGAGAAGCTCAGCCTGGGGCTTCCCTGGGGGACTGACCCTCTCTTGAGCCCCAGGATTCCCTCCACAGTCCTGATCGGGGGGTAGCATGCCTCCTCCAGGAAGCCTTCCTAGATGTCCACACCCAGACAGTTTCTGGTTACCTCAGGCTCACACCAAGCTGTGCTTGCCCAAGGTAGGAGGACCTGCATCTGTTTCCCACCCCAGATGTTGACTCATCTACACCATGTCCACTCATATACCCAGAACCATCACCCAGGGCCCAGCTTCTTGTGGTAAGTTCATTTAACAGCTCTTGAGTGCTCCCCACGTGCTAGGCACTTTACCAGGATCATCTCATTCATTTCCCAGTCTCCCCCTCTGCCCCATTTGACAGATGGAGAAGCTGAGGCTCAGAGAAACTAGATGTCTTACTGAAGGTCATAGAGCCAGAGAGGTGGGATCTGAGCCCCAGCCTGGCCAATTCTAAGCCCGTGTCCCTCACCCGTCCCCTGCTGAGGTTTCAGGGTCACACACACAGGCCCATCTCACCGGGACGCCATCACGAGCCTCACACATCTGCGACACCGACGTCTGGAACTCGCCGATGAAGTCATGGCCCCCGTCATTGTCATAGTCGTAGCACATGACCTGGGGTGGGTCCACTGAGGTCACCCCAGAGCAGCCCCCAAGGAGGTGCTCTCTGGCCCCTCTCAGCCACCTGAGCAAACCCCAGGTCTTCCTTTTGCTGGTGCCTCCCCCTGTTCTCCAGCATCTGCCTTGCTGGCCTGGGACGATGCCGTGAGCTCCTGAACCGCCTCCCGCAGGAAGCCTTCCATGATTACTGGAAAAAGGAGCACCCCAGCAATGGAGGCTGTACACTCTGGAGCAGGAAGCTCGACCCCCACATCCCTGTCACTCGGCTTCTCAGCTGTCTGGGGCTGTGGCCCACCTCTCTTGGCGGGCCATGGCCTGGGGCCCTCCCCAGGGGCATTCCCTAGGGCGACCCTGGACATGCCTCTTGTCTCCCTAGACTGTTCCTTTCCTTGAGATAGGCACAAAAAATCCCAGCTTTCCATGCTCGCTCATCTAGCTGCCAGTCCTAGGAAGAAGGCAGGAATTATCATACCCATTCCACTGACGGATAAGCTGAGGCCTCGAGAGGGAAGCCCTTGTCCGAAGTCTCACAGCTGCAGCAGCAGACCCAGAACTAGAATTTAGGTTTCCTAGTACCCTGTTCAGGGATCCCTGCCCCGGCCTCGCTCATTCCGTCTCCCCCATCTGCTCTCAGTCACCGCGCCTGGGGACTGAGGTTCTGTAGCGCCCAGTAGTCACTGTCCTCATCACAGTGACAACCCTCGGTCGCTTGCACACCTGCTGTCCCAGGTGGCAGTGCTGCAGCCCTCTGGCAAGAGCCGGGCAGTCATTCTGTTCCTGTTTCAGGAAGGGCTCACGGAGACGGGGGCCTTGCCCAGATGGCTCAGAGGGTCAGGCACATGTGAGACCAGAGCCGAGGTTCCCTGTCTCTCCCCCTACCTAGGCTTGCTTTTCCATCTTAATAAGAAAGAGCTTGGCCAGGGCATCCCCAGCAAGGCTGGGGGGACCTAGGAGGCTGGACCTGGCAGGGTGGGGCACAGGGCTCCCCGAGCCCGAGCCCCCTCACCTGGATGGGCTTCTCCACGTCCCCATCACACAGGGATACCAATGGTACAGTGAATGGTTTCCACACAGGGTCCAGCGTGTACTTGATCACCTGCAGCACAGGGAGGGCCAAGGCTGAGTGTAGGTCCAGGGCAGCAGTGCTCTGGGCTTGGGCCAGTCTGATGGGGGTGGCAAGGCAGAAAGGCCCACAGCCACGCTCCTGGGGATGGCGTGAGCATCCCTGTGGCAGGAAGGGAGCAAGTCCTTGAGGCGCCACGGTGGCTTTTCCCATTCCCTGCACGGCAGTGACCTCACAGCCCTGTCCTGAGGGGGGGGGGGGGGGGAGGGAGAGGGATGGCCGGACTACAGACCCACTGGCTTAGAGACCCCCAGAGCCCCGTGCACCCACCTCAGTCCTGTGAACCAGCATCCACTTGCCATCATCTCCTGGTTTATAAAACTCAAGAAATGGGTCTGACTTTCCGAAGAGGTCCTGGAGGAAGCAGGCGGATGCAGGTGAGGGAAGCATGGCTCTACCAGATTCAGAGGAGGCAGTGGCGGGGGCTGGGGGGGGGGAGCTGCCTCCTCCAACCCCGCATCAGGGGTGGGAGCTGTGGGCAGAGCCAGCCCCCTGGGGCCAACCAGCTCCCGCAGGAGAAACTGCCCCATCCTGGGGTTACCAAAGGCTGTGCTCAGAGACCCTGAGACCTGGAGCCTGCAGGCACTACAACTTAGATGGGACAGGGCTTCAAAAGGGTGATCGATGCCCGCAGCAGGATGTGATTTTATTTTAGTGGGGATTTGAAAAACTGAAATTATCCCAGCACGTCACAGAAGGGATAGGATGTCCTTAATTTTATTATTATTTTTAAAGATTTTATTTATTCATTTGACAGACGGAGAGCGTGCGCAAGCAGGGGGAGTGGCAGGCAGAGGGAGCGGGAGAAGCAGGCTCCCTGCTAAGCAGGGAGCCCAATATGGCGCTCGGTCCCAGGACCCCGGGATCATGACCTGAGCCAAAGGCAGATGCTTAATGACTGAGCCACCGAGGAGCCCCGCATGTCCTTTAAAAATCCATTTATTTAAGTTAAAAAAAAAAGTGTCAGGAGGGGCTGCCAGGTGGCTCAGTCGGTTAGGTGTCTGCCTTTGGCTCGGGTCATGATCCCAGGGTCCTGGGATCGAGTCCCGCATCAGGCTCCTTGCTCAGTGGGGAGCCTGCTTCTCCTTCTCCCTGTGCCCCTCCCCCTGCTTGTGCTCGTTCTCAAATAAATAAAAATAAAATCTTAAAAAAAAAAAAAGAGTGTCGGGCGCCTGGGTGGCTCAGATGGTTAAGCCTCTGCCTTCAGCTCAGGTCATGATCCCAGGGTCCTGGGATCAAGTCCCGCATCGGGCTCCCTGCTCCTTGGGAGCCTGCTTCTCCCTCTGCCTCTCTCTCTCCCTCTGTCTCTCATGAATAAATAAATAAAATCTTAAAAAAAAAAAAAAAAAGAGTGTCAGGGAATATTCAGGGAAAAGAACATCCCAGGCAGAGGGAATAGCAAGTGCAAAGGTCCTGAGGCAGGAGGGTGCCTGGTGCAATCCTGAGACAATGAGGAAGCTGATTTGGCTGAGGCAGAATGAAGGTGGGAAGAGCAGAGGGGGTGAGGTCTGAGACAGGGAGTCCCCAGGAGTGGTTTCCAGTTATGTCTTGAACACCTCTAAATAATGGCAAACTCATTACCTCAGTGGTAAGGAGGTCCGAATTTGCTATGGACTTGTGCCTGGGGGGGGGCGGTGATGAAGGTGCTGGCCGGAAGCACCAGGACTAGGCCCCACAACCCTGGGCTGGGGGAGGGATACTGCTCCCTGATGGAGAACCCCCCTTCTCGCCTGCCTCACCTTCTTGTCCAGCTTCCTGCCCGCCAGACTCAGTGTGATGACCTGGTTGTCCGACAGCTCCTGGGCGGCGACCTGCGAGGCCGGGGGAAGTGAGGGTTGGGACCTGCCCCTGTGACTCCCCCTGGCGTCCTGCCAGGCAGTGAGCACGGGTACCCAGGGCTCAGCTCTCCGGGCCGGGAGGGGGGAAAGGAGAGGAGGGATAGTGCCGGGCGACCCTGGACGTGCCTCTCGTCTTCTCAAAACCTCCATGTCTAGCTTCTGGAAAATGGGGTAACCCATGTGAATCTGAGGGATCAGAAGTGACCCCATGTGGCTCGAGAGGGGAGGCCCTGTGAAACAGTTACCAGATATGAGGGGTGGTCTCGAGCCCAGGGCAGAGCTTCTGGCCAGGGAGCAGCTCGATAGGGCCCCTTGGGCCCCCACTGCAGACCCCGGGAGCATAGCCACCTCAAAACGCCAAGGCATGGGGGCATTCCAGGAACTTCACTGTGCAGCCAAGGAAACTGAGGCCCAGGGCAGGGACAGGAGTCACCTGAGCTCCCTGTGCTGTTGTCAGCTCATACTGTCATCTGTCTTCCGTGCCTTCGCCCTCAGCCATGGCCCTCTGGCTCCAACCCAGCCAGCGATGGACCAGCTGAGCGACCTTGGGGCCACCTTTGCCCTCTCCGGGTCTCTGTCTCCCCCTCCCCACAGAGGGGCAGGGAAAGCCCTCGGGCCAACAGCAACACAAGTGGGCTGGGGCCTCTCTCTGCTAGGGCTACCTCTTCCCTCACACCTGTAGGACAGCCTCACCTACAAGCTAATGGACCCTCTAAAACCCCACACAGAGCTAGGCGGGATGCTAGGCTTCCTTTCCTTTCCTTTCCTCCAGCAGAGACTTGCTCAACAACCTTGCAAGGTAGATCCTATTATTGCCCCCATTCCACAGAAGGACCTGAGATCTGGAGTGGCACCGTGGCAATGCTGAGGGGGACAGTCTCCCAGTTCGGCGGGGGGGGAGAAGCGGGAGCCGCTGGGTTGGCTTCCAGGTGGAGGGGAGCTGGCTAGTGAAGGTATACAGATGGTACATAGATGGGGAGGTTCTGAACCCCAAGAGGTGGCGGGGGGTAGGTTGGGAGGGAACATTCCAGGTGGCAGAACAGTAGATGAAGATCTGGGATATGTGTGGTATGCTAAGAATTCAGTTTGCCTGGAACCCAGAGTATGTACACAAAGGAAAGCAAGGTGGGGTTCGTCACAGCCTTGAAAGCAAAGCTCCAGGGGCAGTGGGGAGCGGGGGAGGCTCCAGAGCAGGGGGGTGACTACATATGAGCACATACAGCTTCGGCCTCCTCCGTCCAGCCGGCCATCAGGCCAGTTCCTCCTGCAGCACACGGGCTCTGAACGGGGACAATCCGGGGGGGGGGGGCTCACTAGCCTAACTGCCCCAGGGCATTGCCTCTCTGGGCTCCAAGTCCCTCCTCTGTAAAATGGGTTTCCCTGCCTTGGAGGAGTCTTCGAGGACCCAGGACTCGTCCGCACAAAGGGCCTGCGTCAGGCTGGGATCACTGCGCACTGTAACCCTGTAACGGTAAACAGAGCTCCGCGGGCAAGGCGCTTCTCAAAGACCCCCTAGCGAGGGCAGGCAGGGGCCAGGCGGGGAGGGCATGCTGGGAGGGCTGCGGTGACCTTCGGGGACTGGGAGGAGGAGGCCACCAGGGCCTCTGGCAAGCCCCCTACTACCAGCTTGGCGGCCCCCAACGCATCATATGTGGTGCCAAGAGCCCGTTGCTAAGAGACCTGTTGCTAAGTTGTAAGTTGGGCCTTTTTACTCCAAACAAAGCTGGTGATTATCTGCCAGGGAAACAGCCCATTGATGGGGGAGGGACTCGGGCAGAGGCGGAGGGGTGCGGGAGAGCAGGGAGGGGGCTGGTACCGTAATCAAGCCCTTTCCTGCAGGCTTGTCATTCATTAGCAGCAGAGGCCGAGTGATCTTCTTGCTGGAGACGATCTGGGGGGGCGGGAGAGAGGAGAGTGGTGCTCCTGAGGGTTGGTGGGGAGGAGAAATGCCCAACAGCCACCACTCACAGCACGCGGCTCCATGCGGGTGCTGGCTACACCCCCCCCCCCCCCCCCCCCCCCCCCCCCCCCCCCCCCGCGTGACTGTCCTCCCAGGGAGCAGCCAGCAACCGTCGTTAACCCCACTGGGCAGCGAAGGAGACAGAGGCCCAGAGGGGTTAAGACACTTGCCCGAGGGCCCACAGCTGGTGTGGAATCCCGCCAGTCGTACCCCCACTGACCTGCTTGCCCCCAGGCAAAGGCTCTTGCCAAGGGTCACCTTCCGAGGCACCTGCAGGGAGTCTGCAGGGAGTCGAGCCCCCTCACAGCCTCCCCTAAAGCCATCTACAGATACCGCCCCCACCCACAGGGTGTGATCCCTGATGGAGAGGATCAAATCCTGACTCCTCTTCTATTTTCATGCTCTGAATAGGGAAGACGTTCACACAGCGCTCAGCCATCAAGACCATATAGACAGGGAAAGCAGAACACACTGTAAAGCTGCCCTCCACCATCTCTGTACACCCCATTCCCACGCTTTTCGGGGGCCACCCTGGTTCTCGGCCTCTTGGGGGAAATGCCAGTGTTTGTGCTCATCTGTGCACGGTCCTATCCACCCCCATGCTGGTTTTCCTCCCTAGCCCACTTTCGCCCTTCACCACCTGCTCTGGGCCCTGGTGGCCTTCACCGCCGGCACCCCTGTCCTGCCGGTGCAGCCACTGGGGGCGTCCAAGGTCACCGGAAGACCAGGAGCAGAGAAAGGCCGTTTGGCACACGCGACCCTCCGCGGGGGGCCTTCGCTCTGGTCCAGAGGCCTCCCCACCCCCACCCTGTGGCCGCAGCTCTCCCCAGGCCCTGGCCACCGGCTGCCAGCCCTGCCCCTCTCTCCTGGCCAGGGGCGGTCGCTCACCCTGCAGCTCCCTTCCGTTACCCCTGGAAGGAGGGGACCCCAGGCCGGAATCCCAAGACATGCCCTGCTTCTCTCACAGCAGCGGGCCCAGGCTTGGTCCATCCCTTCTCCTGGAAAGTCCAGGCCATTTCGGTGTGCACACTTCCTCCACCATCACTGTGGCCAGGCGGTCATCATTAGCCCCCAGTGAGATGGGGGGAGGGGAGGCAGAGGCCCAGGAGGGGGCGGGGCTCGGCCAAGGGCACACAGCCATAAGGGTGGTTGGAACTGGTGCGAGGGCCTCCATATGCTCACCAAGGACGAGCTGGATGGGGGGAGTGTGGCCCGAAGTGGGAAAGGAAGTTGCCCAAGTTTACACAGTAAGCCAGCCACCAAAACGGACTCCCATGGGTGCCCTGTTTGCTGGTCAGATGCTCCTGCACCAGAAGTGAAGACCACATCTGATTTACTTCTAACAGTCAGAAGTTCTGGCCACACAGTGTCCCCATTCCTCTGTGGCAACAGCTTGCTGACACTGCTGTGGGAACTCTCCAGCCTGCCCCCAAAGGCTACTCACCCCCTTTTGTACCTGCTGGCCCCCAAGGCTATCTGCATTTTCAACGCTACCTTGGAAGCCAGCCAGGAAGACGAACTAGGGAAAGCAAGCCGCAGAAGAGACTTGCTCCAAGGCACTGCCCCGTCCTTGGGAGCAGCGTGATGGCGGGCGTGGGGACTGCCTTGCCCTTGGCCCCCTGGAGGGGCCCAGCTTACCGTGCCCAGGCTGCAGGAGAACTGGCCCAGGAAATCATGCTCTTCCAGCTGTGTGCTGGACTTGTCCTGGTCGAACAGGGCGAACTTGAGCTTCTGCACTTCCTCGAAGTGGTAGTCAAGGACGAACTTCTTGGAGAACGCGGGGTTGAGGTTGTTGACCGCGGTTTCCGTCCTGTCATACTAGCAGAGGGTCAGGGAGACAGGACCCGGGGTCAGGCAGCTGGTTCAAGCCTTGTCAGGCTGCCTGGAATCATTCTGCGAACTGGCTGAACACCTACTCATGGCCAGTTACCACTCCCAGCTCACAGATGAGGACGCTGATGCACAGAGAGGTTAAGGGACTTACCCAGGGTTGAACAGTTAGAGGGGCAGTGTCAAGACCTGAACCCAGGTCTGACTCTAGCGCTGACACTCTGAACTCTTTGGCCGGGGCGCCATACCAGGAGCCAGGGCAAGAGCTCGAGGTGTGTCTCTGCCTAGGTAAGTGACAGACAGCAAGTCCCTTTTCCTCTCAGGGCCTCAGTTTCCAGTTCCGTAAAACGACGGGATTTGACTATCAGTGGTTTCCATCCTTTTTCTCTTGGAAGAACCCTTTTTCCAAACCACATTTCACATGGAAGCTGAGAGAACAGAAAAAAGGAGGGGTCCGTGGGGGCAGGTGGGGGCAGATGTTTGTAGCTGGGCCTTGTGCAGCCCAACACCCCCCACCTACTATGGAAACCAAGGCCGGGGGAAAGGCTGGGCCTCGTATTGTGGGTCAGGGCTGGGGCTGGGACAGGAACCCCGCCTCCTGGCCTCTCTGCACGGGGCCCCAAACCGCGGAGTCCGGGTCATGGTCTATTTTGGGGCCCGGGTTATGTTGATTTTTCCTCCCACCCAGTCCATTTCCAAAGGCTGGAGGAGCAGGGATGGAAGAGGTCTTGGCCCTGGGCTATTTTTAGCAAGGGTGGCCAGCCTGGGTGAGAGAGAGATTGTCTGGGGGGTGGGGGTGGGGGTGTGTGTGTGCCGTGAGTGAGGGTGGGGTGTAGTGGGGAGGACACTGTTCCCTGAGGGGTAGGTGGGGGCTCCAGAGACCTGGCAGAGGGGACCAGGATGCTCCAGGCACACTGGCTTCAGTCCCTGGCTGACCCCACGTCCCACCTCCCGCTTCTGGCTGGGCACTGAGTGACACAGAGGAGTCTCTACCCATTCCGGGGCCCTAGCTTTCCCTCCGTAAAATGGGTCAACAACCTCAGCACCATTTCCTTGGCATCATAAGAAGGAGCCAACACCTGTGGAAACTCTTTGTAAACCACAGTATGTTCAGTGGTCTGTCCACTGTGGCTCAGTTGAAGAACTATTAAAAATAGATACATAGTTTGGAAATTTTACTTGCATATAAAACCACCTCAAAGGGGACGCCTGGGTGGCTCAGTCGTTAAGCGTCTGCCTTCGGCTCAGGTCATGATCCCAGGGTTCTGGGATTGAGCCCCGCGTCAGGCTCCCTGCTCTGCGGGAGGCCTGCTTCTCCCTCTCCTGCTCCCCCTGCTTGTGTTCCCTCTCTCGCTGTGTCTCTCTCTGTCAAATAAATAAAATCTTAAAAAAAAAAAAAAAAAAAAACCTCAAAGGCCGGATACCAAACCGTTAACAGTGGTTCTCCCTGACACGCAGGTTTCCCACTGTTGTTTTCTTTAGGTTTCTCTTTTCTAAATATACTACAATGAACACAGACCCCTTTTAAAGTAAAAACAAAGCAACTTATAGAACTTGAAAGTGTTAATAGTTTGGATTTCTCAAAATCCTTCCTCAAGCTGCATCTCTCCCTAGCCCTCAGGCTCAGAAGTCCTTGGCACCGTCCACATCCCTAGTTCTGGGGCTCTGCAAGGGAGACAGGGGGAAAAAAATCCTCATTTCAGAGATAAGGAGACAGGTTCAGAGAAGGACAGCCACTTGCCCAAGGCCACACAGCAGGGAGTGACAGACCTGGGTCTTGCTCCAGCTCTGGGACCAAAGCCTGAGTTCCCCATTTCTCTGTCTGCTCCTCACTGACTGTGCGTTCATTTAGGAGTAAATGTGGAAAGTTATTTTAAAAATGGAAGCAGGCATTTTGTAAAACTCTAAGGTTTTAACTATATATTATAGTAATTAAAAATATTGCAATATATGGGGTGCCTGGGTGGCTCAGTCATTAAGCGTCTGCCTTCGGCTCAGGTCATGGTCCCAGGGTCCTGGGATCGAGCCCCGCATCAGGCTCCCTGCTCAGTGGGGAGTCTGCTTCTCCCTCTCCCACTCCCCCTGCTTGTGTTCCTTCTCTCACCGTGTCTCTCTCTGTCAAATAAATAAAAATAAAATAAAATATATTGCAATATAAAACAATATAATTATAAATCTCGTAATCATAATAGCTTAAACACAAATATTATTTTAAGTAGTTATATACATACATTTTATTTATTTTTTAAAAATTTTATTTATTGGGGCGCCTGGGTGGCTCAGATGGTTGGGCGTCTGCCTTTGGCTCGGGTCATGATCCCAGGGTCCTGGGATCAAGGCCCGCATTGGGCTCCCTGCTTGGTGGGGAGCCTGCTTCTCCCTCTGCCTGCCGCTGCCCCTGCTTGTGGTCGCTCTCTCTCTCTCTTTCTCTGACAAATAAATCAGTAAAATCTTTAAAAAATAATAATAAAATAAAATTTTATTTATTTAAATAATTTCTACACCCCATGGGGGGCTTGAACTCATGACCTTTCCAAGATCAAGAGCCGCATGCTCCTCTGACTGCGCCAGCCAGGTGCCCCTAAATACATTTTAAATAAAATTTAATTTTCTTTTTTAAGTAGGCTCCATGTCCAACGTGGTGCTTGAACTCACGACCCCGAGATCAAGAGTCACATGCTCCACCGACTGAGCCAGCCAGGTGCGCTCTAAAATTTTATTTTAAAAGCTAACATCTTCGGGCGCCTGGGTGGCTCAGTCGTTAAGCGTCTGCCTTCGGCTCAGGTCATGATCCCAGGGTCCTGGGATCGAGTCCCACATCGGGCTCCCTGCTCAGCGGGAAGCCTGCTTCTCCCTCTCCCACTCCCCCTGCTTGTGTTCCTGCTCTCGCTGTCTCTCTCTCTCTGTCAAATAAATAAATAAAATCTTTAAAAAATAAATAAATAAATAAATAAAAGCTAACATCTTCTAAGTAATCCCTGTCGCACCCTCCAACTCCCTCCAAGGGCATAACCTGGAGGTCCCAGGATCCAGTGGGAGTCCCTCCCCAGCAACCTAGCCACGCCACACCTACCCCAGACGCACAAGGAGGGCTCTCACCTCAATCCACCTGCCGTCGCTCTCTGTAAAGAGGACACAGAAGGGGTCAGACTTGGAGGTCACATCCCGGTCCAGCAGGTTCTGGCCACTCACTGACAGCTCCACCTTGCACACGCAATACTGAGAGCCCACGGGTGCCACCCCCGCGGCCGGGGCGCCCCCACTAGGGATGTAGGCCATGGGGGTTGGTGGTGGTGGCAGCAGTTCCTGGCGGTCTAGGGGGATAGAAGTGGGGGTCAGAGAGGGTACAGACATGGGGCTGTACCACCCCACCCTGAGGAGGTGTCACCCCCTGACCTTCGAGATGGGGGTAGAGAGATGGAAGGACAGGTGTGTTGATGCCAGGATGACAAAGGCACAAGCTTGACAAGAGGAGAATGAAGAAAAATGAGTCTCTGGTGGGCATGTTTAGTCCGAAGTTATTATCTGTGTTGGTCAATCTTTACCTATGAGACACGCACAAGGCCAAGTCGCCCCTGTCAGATTAGTGACAGATCACAGTGGACATGCGCATCTAAGACACTCATTTTGCCAGGAAAACCTGGGCTTCTCCTGGGCGATTAATATTTTGGGATCTTGTGGCTAGAGTGGAGCTTATGATAGCTCGGGTTTCCCTCTTTGCTTTGGCCACTAGGAAGCTCAATCTTGATAACTTATCCGAAATTTGACCTTGTTCATTGCAGCCTCGTTCATCTTGTGCGTCCTGGGCCTAAGCACAGTGACTGATGCACAAGGTGTATGCTTGCTGAATCAAAAAGATGAGCGTAGAAATCAGTGAATGGACAGACCCTCCACATTGCTCAGATCCTGCCTGAGTTGGTCCTTATCGTCAACATAGAATTTACACTTTCATTCGCATATGACTTCCCCCACCTTATGTACCCCTTCCACTGTCATGGCTAATTACTGGCATTTGCTTCCTCTAAAGCAGTTCAGTTTTCCTCCAAGTTCATCTGAAGCAAGTGTGGAGAGACCCATCTCAGGGCATGGAGGGGAGCTCTGGGCTCCACCCATAATAAGGCCCCACGGACAAGCCCTCTGGCTCTCTGTGCCTTAGCTTCCTCATCTGCCCACAAGACTTCACGACACAGCCCTCCCAGACTCCGGTGGTCGGGTCTTATTTCCAGCAGCTCGTGCATAGTTCACAGAGGCCCCATCACCGTGTGCATGAGTCCAGCTCCCACTTACCCACATAGGCCTTGACTAATATGTCACCCCCTCACTGCTGAGTGGGTGACCGGCCCTGCACTGCCCCAGAGCGGGGGATGCGAATCCAACTGGCTGTGCTTCTGAGCATTGACTATGAGCTGAGCATGTGACCTGCTCATCCTCATTCATTCACTCTAGAGTGTTTACTGAGCATCTACTAGGTCCCAGGCCCCGGGCTGGGACTGGGACCCAGGGCCTGGGATCCTATAGCAAGAAGGCCGCCCAGCCCAGTCTCAACTCTCACAGGCTAGCTGACAGCGCGGGGAGAGCCGCCAGGTCCTGGGGGGCACTGGGGCTTTATGCTGAAAGTGATGGAAGTCTCGGAGGGTTTTAAGCAGAGAGGTGACAAGATCTGATTTGTGTTTTGAGCAGCTGACTCGCTCCTGTCGGCAGAAGGGTATGTTAGTATGGAGAGGCAGCCTCTGGCGAGGAGGTGGCTGTCAGCCAGGGAGGAGGGACCAAGCCGCAGTGGCCATGCTGGGCCCAGCTTTCTCCCTCGGACCCGGGCCATGGCCCGCATCCTGAGTGCCAGCCCGCCTCTGGCTGGGCAGATGGAGGCCCCGGTCTGCACAAAGCCTGGGCGAGGGTGGGGCTGGCGCCAGAGGGCCCTCTTGCTCTCCAGACACAGTGCACCTCAGGGCATGCCTGACAGGGGAGGATCGGGGACACTGACAAAGCCAGTCCTCAGCCCCCTCCCTCCCACCGTCTGTCCCTACAACCTCATCATCATCATGCGAACCCAGAGCATCAGGACAGCACTGCAATTTGCCTGCAGGATTCATTCCTGTTGTGTAAAAATTAGTTTCCACTGAAAGGGCTGGGGAGACTGCATTCACTCTCCCTGTGTACAGCTGGGTGGCCCTCCATGTCGGGGAGGGGGAAGCAAGTCCTCAACCCAGTCTGGAGGGCAGGCGGGGGGGAGGGGCGGGGGGGGGTTGGGATGTCCAAAACGGACACCTTGCCATGTGGCTGAGGGAATCGCCTGTTTATGCTCACAACCACCCGGAAGTGGGGTGGCCCCCAACAGGGACCCCCATTTTACAGATGAGGGAACAGGTCCAGAGAGTACAAGTCACCTGCCCAAGGTCTCAGGGCCAGGAAGCCACAGAGGCAGGGTATGAGCCGGGTCTCCAGGCCCCCCAGGCCCATCTGCGACCTCTGGCCAGGGCTGGGGCACGGCTGAGGACGGTGAAGGAACTAGGACCTAGGCGGGGACGAAGGGGAGGCAGCATGGCCAAAGGGAACCCCACTTCCTCGGGACTCTCACTGCCCCCATCATCTGGGGTCATCCCTGATGGGTTGGGTTCCATCCAGGCTACCTGCCTCCTCTCCACCTGATGGGCCCCCTTCATGACACACTGGATGCTACACCGTTCCCCCTGCTGCCAAGTCAGAGGCATCTGCTTTCATCCCGAGGGGCGTCAGGGACTCCCCTGTGCATGCACACACAGTGTATGGTCACATATACACACGCGTATGCGTGCTCCCGGTGACCAGCGGCAAAGGCACGCACGCATATGAACACCCAGGGCGGCTTCTCCCCTGCCCCTGCCCTCCCCCACGTCCAAGCCACCGCCATCCCTCTGCTGTCCTCCCACCCGACACTGGCTCCGGCCTGGCTGAGGGCATGGCCGGAAGGGCCAGGTCCCAGGGGAGGGTCAGGCTGGGCCGAGCTCCTTGGAGCCCGTGGCAACTCCACCTGCTTTAGCCGGCAGGCCCCAGCTAGAGTGAACAAGAGGTGGGCAGGGGAGGGGTACTTCTCCCCCAGCTCGGGGCGGGCAGGTTCCCCATCCCCAACTCACCCTCTGGGAGGAAGCTTCTGGATCCCCGAAATGGGGAGCACATGATGTCCAGAGTTGGGGCAGGCGAGGGTGAGAGTGGGCCCCTCTGTGCCAGCCCGGCAGCGGGCAGGCGGGCCGGACCCTGAGGCCTGACGCAACGGAAAAAGAAATCACAGCTTATGCCGGGCCGGGCCCCCTCCCCTCCTACTCCAGCAGGAGGGCAGGCGGACAAGGTGTCATTAAGGGAGGGTTGGGCCTGCCATGCGCATCTGGGCCAAATGGAAACCTCCTTAATGCAGCATCCGCCCCACAGGTAATTTGAGGTTATGGGCTGCAGAGGGGGCATGGGGAGCCAGGGCCTGCTCGCAGATCGTCCTGACTCTTGGCCCAGGTGGGCACGGGTCTTCTAGGGTGGCCAGATCCTCAGGGAAGGGGCTGGAAGGGGGAGATACAAAACTAGTAGTCTCTCTTACAGATGAGGCAGAGAGGGCAGGGCTTGGGAATTCCCATTCATTCCTTCCACAAACACTCCCCGAGTGCCCTGCAATGAAGAGCAATGAACAAGACACAGAGGCTTCAGCCCCCCACAGGGTCCACTGGCCCTCGCTCCTAATACATCTTGCCCTTCAGGTGGACAGAACAGGATCTGGAGACTTGGGTGCTGAGCCATGGGCGTAGAGGGTTGTAGAGGGAGGGAGAAAACCCACCATGCATGCTCTTTAATCTCAGAGAAATGACAACCACCTCTTCCTGACACACATCACAAAGATCACAAAGTCGTGACTCAAACCCTGGACCCTCATGATTGCTCCAAGAGACCAGAAGGGGAGGGTTTCACATCCCCCTTCACAAGGGTGGAAACTGAGGCCCCGGAGGGGGCAGTGGTTTCTCCAAAACAGGGAAGTATGATGCTGAGGCCAAAGGCCTGGTTGCTTAACTCCATCCTTCCGCCCACTATTGGCCCCAGTGGCTCAGGACCCAGGAGCTTGGCTGTGCACCCTACTCACTAAGGGGAGGAGATGCCGAGGCCTGGAGGGCTCCCAACTCAGAGATGGGCAGTGTCAGGGAGGCACCAAGAAAGGCAAGCAGAGGGAGATGGGCAGTGGAGCGGGGGGAGGCAGACGGCTGAGCTGGGGGAGCCCGCTGGGGAAAAGAGGGGATGGAAGGTGAAGGGCAGGGCTGAGGTGCCCAGGGAGGCAGCAAGTCCCTACTCCGGAGAGTCTCAACTGGTGGAGAGTATGGGGCAAGTGTAACAACAGGACAGCCTGTCAGGACTTCTGGTGGAGGTCAGCAATGTGCCCCTTGAAAAAGCGTGTTTAACTTGATATTTAGAAGATGCAAAAAAGAAATGCCGTTTTCAGTGCCCACTATGGAAAATAACACTCCACAAAGTCTGGTCGGTGGCAGTAACAAGGAGGGGCTCAGTCTTCTGATCGGTGCCGGCGACAGTGAAGACCACAGGCTCTGGACTCAGAAGGCCTGACTTTGAATCCCTGGTTCTGCTATTTACCCGCTGTGCGTCTTTGGGCGAGTTACTTAATATCTCTGGCCTCAGTTTCCTCCCTCTACAAAATGATGACAGTGAGAGAGCTCTCACTGGGTAGGGTGAGGATTAAGCACTTAGAATGACAGCTTGTAGCTGGTGCTATTATCAGCAATTCTTGATGGCTGCGGGCAGGCGGAGCAGATAGAAAGTTCGGGAGATGCATGAAGTGTACGGATTACGTAAAAGGGGCCGAGAGTTGAAACTGGTTGAGAAATATGGCTCTAGGCTCCCCTTTTCAACCGGAAGACACCGGGCTGGGATGCCAGTGGCCAGCAACATGGTGGCTGGGGGGCCAGGGAGGGGATAACGGATTGAGGCCCCACCAGGGGCATGCCTCAGGGCCTTTGGGTCCTCACGCATGCAGAGAATCTCGCTCCGTGGGGTCTCGTCATTGACAGCAGAGACTCCAGCGGTGGTGGCCCCAGGCTCTCGCAGTTCCACGTGTGTTTCCCAGGTGGGCCACCTCAGCATCTCCCGGGAGCTTGTCAGGAATGCAGCATCCTGGGCCCCACCAGACCTGCTCAGTCAGAACCCCTAGAGTGGCACTTAGCAACCTGTGTTTTAACAAACCCTCCTGGTGATTCTGCGGTGGGCTAAAGTATACACAAGGGCCAGTGGGGTGGCTAGGTGGGGCATCGTGCTAAAATGCAGATTCTGATTCAGCAGGTCTGGGAAGGGACCTCAATGTCTGCGTTTCTAACCAGCCCCCAGCATGCTGAGGCTGCCCATCTGGGACCATGCTTTGAGCACTGAGCTCCTAGATCCAAGGTTGCAATACGGCCACCTCATGGCTGGCCACGTCCCAGGGAGGGCTCTGAGTTAGCCCGCACTTGGTGTAATTAGGCAGATGTCATATTTGGTCCTCATACCAGAACTGTTCCCAGCCAGGTCTCTGCAGATCTCTGAGTTTGCGATGTCCCGTCTAGAGGGTGACACTGTTGGCCAGAGCCCTCGGAGAACGAGATGCCTGGTCCCCACTGGCCCTGATGGCTACACTGGCAGAATTTCTGGGGTCGGATTGTGTCTTGACTGTGTCCAGATCTAAGTCACCTCCTTTGCCCCATTTCCTAGACACGATGATCCAGGAAGACAAATGGCAACTGTATGAGTCTTCCCCAGAGAAAACAGAACCAATAGGATAGCTATATATAGAGAAAGAGATTTTAAAGAATTGGCTCATGCAGTTGTGGGGGCTGACAAATTCTAAATCTGTAAGACAAGACGGAAAGCTGGAAATTCAGGTCAGAGGTGACATGGCAGTCCTAAGTCCAAAATCCACAGGGCAGGCGAGGCAGGCGGGAAACTCAGCAAGATTTCTATGTTGCAGTATATATATATATATATATATAAATATATATATTTTAATATTTATATATATATATTTTTTTTTTTTTTTAAATAAAGTCTGCCCCTGACGTGGGGCTCGAACTCACGACCCAAGATCAAGAGTCGCATGCTCTACCAACAGAGACGGCTGCCAGGTGGGTGCCCCTCTATGTTGTAGTCTTGGGGCAGAATTCCTTCTTCTTGGAGAAAGTCTTTGCTTTTCTAAAAGGCCTTCAATTGATTGGATGAGGCCCACCCACATCACGGAGGGTAATCTGCT